GGGTTTTTTTTTTTTTTTTTTTTTTGGTCTTTTTGAGATTCGTGATGTCTTAACCTGCAGTCTCACAAGCCTTAACAAATGCCAGGGTATACTTCCGGTTTTGTCTCGTGCGCAAGCGCAGCAGCGACTGGCAGCTCGGCCGCTGCGCCGGCTTTTTCCGGTGCGCAAGTGCTTAGCGAGCGTTCAGCGTCGCCGGAGGTGAAACCCCTGGGCTGCCCCGACTGAGGTCTGTGTGCCGGGACACCGTTCTGGACGGATGCCGGGGCCTGGGGTCTAACACTAGCAGGGCGCACTGTAAAAGTTAGCCAGACTCCTGGGAACCGCCCCGGTGCAAAGCCCGTTCGATGGACCACGCTAGGTGCACTAACCCGGAGCGGGGCCCGAAGCCGGGGTAACACTCGGGGACCGGGCTAAACCGCACCCCTGCGCCCGGGCGGAACCTGATCTGGCCTCGTCCAGTCCTGGGGTCAGTACTCCGGCAAACTTGCCCGGGGAGAGGTGGGGCTGGCATCAGCTGCAGCGTTGGGGGCGAGACCCTGCGGGTGAGGTTTGTAACCGGAGGCCTCCTACAGCGCACTTTCGTGTAGTCTCTGCCAGAGGTCGAGAAAAACCAGGATCAGCCGGTGCCTACCTCATCTTGGCATTCCTACTGCCCCGCAGTGACCCCCGGAAGCCCTCCCATAGCCCTTCCCACACTCCCTGAGTGACCTCACCAAGCTAATGGCTCATCTATCCTAAACCCTTGTTTTCAGCCCAGACTTCTGTCCCCTGGGCTCTGGCCCCTGGACAGCCCTACTCTGATGTCTCTCAGATTCAGTGTTCCAAGTGAGCTCAGCTATCCGAGGCTGCCCCTCCTTCTTCCTCTTTGTCTCAGCCACTGCCCTCACACCCTCCAGGGGCTCCAGCTAGAAACATGGCCACCACTGTGGATACCCCCTCTTCTCTTTTACCATTCACCCATTCCTTCCCAAGGTGCTGGGAAATCTTTCTGCCTCTGCATTGTCACCACTATTTCCCCAAGCCTCAATTTCCTCCCAAGTCTCCCTCAGCCAAAGGGCTCTGACACCCAGACCTCACCTGTCTTTCTCCCTTTCAACATCTATCAACACTGGACCAGATCCCAGGTCCCTACAAACATACCCCCCAGAGTGACCAGAGCCTTCCTTCCTTCCTTCCTACTCACTACAGAACCTGTGATGGTTAATTGTCATTGTTAACTTGAACAGATTTCAAATCACTGGAACACACATGTTATTTCCAGAGAGGTCTAACTAAGGAGAGAAGTGCCATCCTGATGGTGGGGGCAGCATTCCATGGGTTGGAGTCCCATTCTCTGCTTCCTGACTGAACGCAGTATGTCCACTCCCACTCACGACCTCCCCACCATGATGGACTAGATCCCCTAAATTAGAGCCCAATAAACACAGTATCAAGATAAATGATATAGTCTAGTCCCCAACCATGAAAAGCCAGAACCCATAAGAACTGCTGATCTGGGGCTGGAGAGATGGCTTAGTGGTTAAGAGCACTGTCTCCTCTTCCAGAGGACCCTAGTTTGAATCCTAGCACCCACATGACAGGGTGCACTTACATACATGTAGGCATAGCTCTCATACACATAAAAGTAAACCAAAAAGAAAAGGGGAAAAAAAGAACTGCTGATCCAGGACCTCTGGTGTACCCTTCATAATCCTTTGACCCAGCCTCCTTGACCCTGGATTCCTTCATGTGCCCTAACTCCAGTTCAGTGGGCTCCCCAGACTTGTCCTGCTGGAATATGTCTGACACCTCCTCCTGGTGAACTCAGCCTTCAGAACTCAGTCCTCAGGTTCCTTCCTCTGAGAATCCTTCTTCCTGCCCTTCCCTGCTGTTACTCAGCTTATCCAGCCAGAACCTGAATTAACAAACTCAGGGCCTAGGTGTCAGCAGAGTAAGCCTTATCCAGAAGGGGGAAGACCCTGGATGAGGCATGTGCCTGTCTGTGCCTCAGGATAGAAAACAGAGTATTTAGGTGAAAGTCCATGTTTGGACCTGATAATGTCACTCAGGGGAAAGGCTCAGCCCGATGAAGAACAGAGGGGGTCATGAGCCAGTGACACAGAACTGAGTTGAGGGCCACTCTCCTCTGAGACACAGAACAGAGAAGCTGCCACCCCTGGAATTGGGGTCTATTAGATGTGGTCAGCTGATAGAGTGAATGCAACTTGGTGGCTCAGTGAACGGAAAGGAGAGTGGGACCTGTCTTGGATGAGGCATGGCCCAGCTCCTTCTGTTCCCTGCCCAGAAAGGTCTGCCCTATTTCCTACTCCTTATCTTGGGCCCTCAGGTCTGGTTCCAGGGCTGGGAAACCCAAGCAAGGTAGGTGTGGAATATAGCCACCTGCTTCCCAAAAGAAGCCAAGGGTGTCCTACCCTTAGAGTCACCTCCATTCAGCGCCAGGCCAGCCCTGAGTGAATGTTCTTTGGACCTGGTCCTAGGAGCTTGGTTTGGCCTTAGGGGGCAACTCCCCCATCTGTATATCCCAAACACACATACAGACACAAATAAGGTGGCTTATTTTACTCCCTGACGTCCCCTTTTCACAGAATATTTACAAACAGGGACAGGTGGGGCACCTTGGCCACCAAATGGGCTAGGCAGTGGGGGCAGTGCTAAGACGCGCCTCAGCGCAGGGAAGAAGTCCTGAGGAGGGTCATTAGTATGACCCAAGCACCCTGAAGGGCCAGGCAGTGCCAAGCAGGTCCAGCTTCAGGCTGGAGCTTGATAGGTTGACCTCAGGCCAGGTCAGTGGCGGCTGAACCCAGCTGCTTGGAGGCCAGGAACAGACGGGTGGCTGCGCTCTCTGACTCTGCCAGCAGCCTCTGGTTGTTGTGCCTGAGGCTCCGCACTTCCTCTTCCAGGGCTGCCCTGTCCGCCTTCTCCTGGGGTGAGGGAAGGTAGTCAGAGCTCTTTCCTGAGGCAACCCTATGCTTCCCTCAACTGGAGGCCAACGCCTCACCTTCTGTAGGTCTTCCTGTAGCTTCCTGAGCATGGACTCTAGGTGTGAGACCTTCTCCGACAGGCTCCTGGGTTCTGGCCTAGGACATGGGGTCAGAACTCAGCAGGAGCAGTTTGGCACCACGGGCTAGCTCCTATACACCCCTGCTTGTGAATGAACCCAACCCCTGTCCTCCGAGACTGAGGGGTGCAGAGGATGGGCACACATGCACGTGAAGGGCAACATGAGGGCCTTACTCAGAGTCACACTTTGGAGTTCCCTTGGGGTCTCCACTCTCTGGGATGGGCTGTCCTATGGAACAGAGGGACAGTGTGGGCAGGTCTAAAAGGGAGAAAGAGCCCCATTCTGGCTCCTTTCCTCTGTGCCCTGGTGGCCTCACCCTCCCGGGACAGTGACTCCAGAATGGTGTTGCAAGTGGAGGCGATCTCCGAGATGGACTGCCACTCATCCTCCAGAGTCTCGCTGCAGGCTTCTGACATGACTGCAGGTTATTGGAGGGAGGTTTAGAGCAGGGATCCTAGAACTGCCTTCCTTCTCCTCCCCTCCTGTTCCCTGGCTCCAGCCTCACTTTTACTGATGGAGTTCCGCAGAGATAAGGTTCGTGGCAGGATGGAGGCCCTAGATTCTGGACCTTCATGTCCCTCATCCTTGTCCCCATGGCTACTAGAGCTGCTTGATGAGACCTGGGAGGCAGAAGTGAAAGTCAAGGCAGTGACACCCACTGTCATCTCTGTGCAACTGGTCTTCAGAGCCTTGTTTCTGATTACCTGGAAGGTGGGTGTCTCCCTGCCAGTACCAGGTGCTGATGGGTTGGCCGTGGTGGCAAGGAGGAGGTCTGGGGTGGTGTTGGGCAGGACTGGAGCGTCATCTGACAGGGAGCTGAGGAGAGCAGGGGCAGCTCAGAATGGGGAGCTGCTTTCCCAGAGCTGTGCCTATCCAAGGCCCCACGAGGCTGGCCAGAGGGGAGAGGCCCAGAGGGTTTACCTTCGGGGTGACAGTGAGTTCTGGCTACGCAGGAACTCAGTCCTCTCCTCAGTCAGATCCCCAGGCACTGGAGGGCCACTGCCATCTTTCAGGCAAAAGCGAAGCAGCTGTTTTGTGGGGGGCAGCAGGACCATCTCCAGGGCGTCATCCTGCACTGGCTCTGGGGCCACACGACGGCTGGGCTCCTGCAGAGACAGCTTGTACAGCTCCGAAAAGCTCCTGGGGGAATGATGGAAGCAGTGTCAAGCTAGGGCTGTCCAGCAGCTCTGCATCTTCAGCCCCATTCCAGTTGTTGCCAGAGGCTTCCAAAAGGAGAGCTTCACACATTACCTAACATCAATGAAAATACTTGTGTCTGGCTAGTAACCACTTCCAGACCTCTATTAAAATCCCAGCTGTAGGTTGAGCATGGTGGTGCACGCCTCTTTTGTCCTGGTTTTGGTTTTTTGAGATAGGGTCCCTTTGGAGCCCTGGCTGGTCTGGAACTTGCCCATGTAGAACAGGCTGTCCTTGCTCTCACAGAGATCTACCTGCCTCTGTGACACCACACCAGCTGGTACATACCTTTAATCCCAGCAGAGGCAGGCAAATCTCTCTGGTTTGAGGTCAGCCTGGTCTACATAGCTAGCTCCAGGCCAGCAAGGGCTACATAGTAAAAATGAATGATACATATTTTCGCTTGCAATTTTTTGACCTTGCGTTTGAGTGTGCATACTAGTAACCTCTTCAAAAGGCGAGAAGCCTGATCAAAACACCTTATATACATGTATGAAATTCTCAATAATTAAAAAAAAGCAAGAAGCCATCTATATAAACCCCCCAAAAAAGTGTCTGCTTTTTAGTGGAACTCAGCTACACATTTTACCCACAACAGCAGAGCTGAGTGACTTCGGCAAAGACCAGGTAGCCCCCAAAGCCTGGAATATTTACTAACGGGTTTTGTGGAAAAAGTTGGTCTTTAACAAACAGTATAATGTAGTAAGTGACCAATTACTGTATGTACATAGGGTGTGGGAGTTAATACCTTTAAAAGATAGAGGGGACTATCTGATCTGTTTTCAGCTGTGAAAGCGCCTGCTTAATCGGTTTCGGTCTAGATTAGGAATAAAGTAGGTTCAGAAACATCAAGAGACCCGGGATCTCGAGAGTATGCTGATGGTGACATCCAGGCACACGATGTCAGGTCCTCCCACCTCCCCACATCCCGGGCGCCCTGACCTGCGGGGCCGGCCCCTCTCGTCTGGGGGCAGGACGGTGACGCAGACCTTGGGCGCCGAGCGCAGCAGTTGGGCAGCAGCGTCTTGCCCCAGGCTGGGCAGCGTCTGGCCGCACACGCGCAGCAGGCGCGCTCCCGGCCGAAGCCCGGTGGTCTCCGCGAACGTGAAGCGCTCCACGTGCGTGATGAAGCCCTCTGCGTCCACCTCGAAGCCCAGGCGCCCTTGGCCATCTCTGGGCAGCGCCAGTTCTCGGGTCTCGCAGCCGCGGCTCACCAGCTGCAGGGATGAAGGCATGGCTCCAGAGGCGTGGCTTCTCGGCGCAGCCCCCTGGTCCCGCACCGGCCTCGCTTCACTTTGCCCACCACCTGATAGGTGAGCGCCTGAAGCTCAGGGATTGGAAGTCACCTGTGGAAGGCTCCTGCCTCACCCAGGCTGACTCTGCCCCACCCACATTGGCCTGTCCTTTTAGTAGGAGGCCCTTCCGAGACAGGCTCCGCCCCCGAAGCGCATAGCACACCCAGTGCGCGCCTTAAGCTTGCAGCTTTAGAGCGCCGGCCTGTTTCCCACCCAGGCTCACCTGCAAGCGCGCCACGACCTCGCCCACCGCTTGCCCAGGGGCCCCGTTCAGCCTCAACGTGATGGCCTCCCCGCGCCCATGGTACAGATCCAGCTGTTGCTCCGAGAAGGTCCAGGCCAGCACGTCGCGGCAGGCACAGTTGAAGACCACGCGGCCGTCACGCGGCGCCACCAGCACCAGCGTCTCGGCCGAGATGCCCAGCAGGCAGGGTACCTCGGCGCCGTCGGGGCCGCCCGGTTCCGCGCCGGCTGCGACCCGCGCCCCGGGCGCAGCGCGCACGCCCCACATCAGCGCGCCTGCCGCTTGCAGCTCTGCGCCCGGGCCCCGAGGGCTTGCCCTGCGCCGGCCGCCCAGGGATGGCAGGCCGAACCGCGAAGCCGAGTCCAACGACGTCGTGGTCACCTCGTTGGTCGCCAGGTCCTGCAGGTACTGCTGGCGCGTGCGCATGGCCATAGCGTGGAACTGGCGTGCGTGACCTGCCGCCTGCTCACCATTGAGTGCCTTGGCCAGCAGGAAGGCCCTGAAATCAGCGTTGGCTGCAAACGGGCCTCCGCCTGGGGGCAAAGCTGGCCCGAAGGCTGGAGTGTCCTGGGTGCGACTCACAGCCACCCTGCGTGGAGGAAGAAGGCTATAGTGAGGGACGAGAGACCAGAGAGGGGTAGTGTCCAGAAATAGGTGTCCATGGGAGTCCTGAGACCACCCCAGCACCCACCTGTACGAGGTGTGCGGGGTGCAGGGTGCGTGTGCACGCACCACTAAGAACACATGCTGGAAGTGTGAGCGAATAGTGGTGGGGCAGAAGGGCTTGCTACCCGGCTCCTGGAACACGATGGTCACAATGTCGTTGCCGATGTGGCGCTTCCTCAGGAGCTGCGGGTTAAAAGGAAGGAAATGTGAGAGGGGCTATATGCCCCCAAACCCTTCCTCAATTCAGGCATGGCAAAGTCTAGGTACCAAGGACGCCCATCTGCCCAAGGGAAAGGCCTGAGGTGTTCCATTTGGAAAGGTGTTGTCATCGGGGAGGGTTGCTGGAGGTCAGCAGAGTTTATGCCAAGGTTGTGATACTGCCACACAGCCACCCAGGTAGCGCCCTCCAAGGCTCTGCAGAAGTCCCTAGCCTGTCTCACCGAGCCCTCTCACACACACCTGTTGCTGGTTATTAGGAGTGTAAGGCAGCATTGTGGACACGTGGAACATGATCTCGTGGTCCTGGTAGGTGGTGTAGAGGGAGTGTGTGCCCGTTGAATCCGCTGTGGCCATACAATTGAGGACACAAAAGGAGAGCATGGGGAGTGTGGGTGACTCCAACCTGCCGTCCTTGCCTATACTCATTAGCCTCAATGCCCCACCCAGCAAGTGGACAACCCCCTCAAGCCACCAGCCAATGCCCAGGTCTCAGCCTTGGTGGGTTCCTTCCCCAACCCCCACAGGCTGCAGCCCCACATCAGGGTGGAGGGAGATCAGGATAGGGGTGCAGAGATAGAATGAACAGAGAGGTCTCTGAGGGAAGCAGAGGACTGATGCCCTGGGCTCAACTCAGACAGCAGGATTCTCAGCCTTAGGTATCATCCCAGCCCTTTTCCCAGCCTGCACAGCTGGGCTTTGCAACTCAACCCACATCTTCAGCCCACCCAAAGACCTCACCAGCTCTCAGTCCCAGCCCTTGGCCAACCAGACTTTAAAGAGTTGTCTCTCAGCATGGGTCTGCCCCTTCAGTCCCATGGGCCTTACTTTTAGTATCCAGCTGAGCCCGGTAACTCTCAAAGCCTTTGAGCCGCACCACGTCGCCCAGCAAGGTGAGGAACTGCATGAAGGCTGCTCCTGCCTCCTGGTTGTTGTACATCTCTTCCTCTGAGCCCTGGCCAGCCCGGCAGTACAGGATGCCCACCTTGCGCTGGAAGCTCAGCTGAGGGGGTAGGGGGCAACAGAAAGCGAAGGCCTTGGTCTCCTGCCAGCCCCACCCCTACCACATTTTGGAGACCAGTGAGGACACATGCCTGGGGTCTAGGCTGCTTTGGTACGTGACTCTGAGCCCAAGCCTTCTGAGTCATCTGCATCCTTGCCCATCAAGTGTGTGCAATCTGTCCCTATCGTTGTTATCGTTGTACTCAGGAGGGAGAGGGGGCTCACAGGTGGTGAGAAGAGAGAAGGGTTTGGTTTTCCAATGACAATAGAGGAGGTGATTCAGAGAAAAGGAGTTTGCACAGAATTCCCTCACTCCCAACAATGGTCCACATTGTTATCCTCCTCAACTTAAGGCTTGACAGTGTTTCCCTCCCACCCCCACACCCAAGGCACCCTCACCCCAGCCTTCTAGTCATCTCTATCCCCATCCTGTGTCCACCTTTTTTCTTTTTGAGACAGGATCCTATGTAGCTCAGGCTGTCCTTGAACTTAGCCAAGACTGACCTTGAACTCGATTCTCCTGCCTGCACCTCCCGAGTGCTATGATTAAGGGCACGTACCACTATTCCTGGCTTTTTGTTTGAAATGGGGAGGGGGGGATCTTGTTATGTACCCCAAGCTGGCCTCTAACTCATCGCAATCCTCCTGCCTCAGTTTCCTAGTGCTGAGATTACAGGTGCACACCACCGTGACTGGAGATTTTGCACCCTTCCTATTCCTAGTGTCTTTCCAGTAGTAGATAGCTATACCCAGCTTGAGGCAACCTGACCCCATTAGAGCAACCTCCCCACTCCCCACTCTGACCTCTTCCCTTCATAGCTGACCTCACTGGTCGAGTGCTTGCCTAACCTCAGGCCCTGGGTTCCATCCCCAGCACCATAAAATAAACAGAATCCAAAACCCCAAACCCAAACAAAAAACTAAACCTCAGGCTAGAGAGATGACTTATAACCTGTAACTCCAGCTCCTGGGGAATCTGACACCTCTGGCTTCTGCACTCATGTAAACACACACACACACACACACACACACACACACACACACACGCACGCACACAAAATCCTAGCCTTGAGAGGCAGAGGAAGGCAGAGCTCTGTAAGATCCAGGCAAGACTGGTCAACATAGAGTTCCAGGCTAGCTGGTGTCATAGGGAGACCTGTCTCAAAAACAAAAAACAATATAAATTGGGGAAAACAAAACAAAACAAAAAAAACTTCAAAAACAAAACTAAACCCCAATTTCCTCTACAGCCCATAGATATGGCCTCATCCTGGCTCTCTCTTCACCACTGTTGGCCCCGGAGACAAAGAGAGCCCCATTGCTTGGGAGTCCTCCCATAGTGGTTACAGTGACCACCTTCATAGCCCCTTCAGTTCAAACCTTCTCCCAAACCCCAGGCACATTTCGCCAGCTGCCAGATGGCCACTATGTCACCTCAATTCTGCTGGGGCTCCTAGTCTCTGTCTTCTTCCCCTGCTCCAGAAAAATACAACTCCCAGGGGCCAAGAAGCTGTGGCTCTCGACCATCCCCACCTTTCAGTCCACCACAAGGGCGACCTACTGTACTCTGGACTGTCACCTCCTTATCAGCATCACCATTGTGACCACCATGTCTAACCTAGTCCTCATCTGGCCTGTTCTCCCTCTAGCCCAGGTCCTGTGTTGCAGCTAGAGAGCCATGGAACCTCTCAGATCTGCTCTGAATCTCTCGGATTCCTCCCTTTGCAGTTTTACCGTGGGAAACTTTGGCCGAGGAAGGGCTGTTAGCCATTTCTGTGCCCTATAAAGCTCCCCACGTTCCCCTTTCACTGAATCTTGCTCCTGTATTTCAACTGTATTTTGGAGGCCTCTTGTCCACACTGAAGGAAAGCACCTTATCTGCACCACTCCCAGCATCCAGTCTAGGGCTGGATACCATGAAGGCAGGAGATGTATTTGTTGAAAGACCTGGGTTGAACAACACAGAGGAGGCGGCAGCGTCAGTGGGCAGGTTGAGAAGGACTTCCTGACTGGCTTGAAGGGGAATGGGCAGCTCTGGGAAGGAGTGAGCCTCCCATATTGAGAGCAGATCAAGCAGGGGCTGCAAGACAAATTGGTCAGAAACTGCAGCACAGCAGGGTCAGTCAGACCAGGGCTTCTAGGGCAGTAAAGTACGTAGGTATTACCTTAGGTCATTTTAAAACTGCCGAGTCTGACTTAGTGTGCGTGGGCTGTAGCCCAGATTCTACTATGTAAAATGTAGCATTGGCTGGCCTGGAACTCATTATGAAGACCAGGCTGGCTGGAACTCACAGAGATCCATCCTCCTACCTATGCCTTATTAAAGAGGGGTGCCGCCACAGTGAGTTCAGATATGCATTCTACAAGCCTCCGAAGGCTCTGGCTGCTCCTGCTCTACAGACCCTCCTTGGACAAGCAAAAATTGACTTCTGAACTTTGTCTCTGGAACTCTGGAGGTGAACCAGCCCCCCTTGGATGAGTCAGGGTTAGGGGACTCTGGGAGCTAGCCAGGCTGAGTTCAGACCAGGTCTCCTGGGGAAAGTGAACCCTCCTTCCTCCCCACCACTCACCACTTGCTCATCTAGAGTAAGCAATGTGCGTGGCACCTTGGGGGAGGCTGAACCCAGGCGCAGGCAGGTTGGGCTCAGCCGAGGGGCCACATGCTCCAGAAGCTTCCTGGGGGATAGGCCCCTTGGGGGTCCAGGTGGCAGTGCGTCCTCTGAGATGGTGCCACGGAGGGTCCGGAGCTGAGGAGGGATTGTAAGGCAATTCGTTCAGTTTCCTACTGGGTGTGAGGAGGGGTCCACTGCCTGAGCCCATGATCCTAGCCCACCTGTGTGGTGCGCACGATGACACGGTAGCTGTGGATGGTGCCTCCACCACTACCCTCTTTATCCTCTCGCCGCAGGCTCACTGCCACAGGACCCAATGCCTCGTCCAGCCCGAAGAAGTTCTGATGTTCTAGGGTGGAGGTGGCCAGGGAAGCTTGGTCTCGACCACGCCCATCACAAAAGTTTCTCCCTAGACTTCAACTCATCCAGTGTAGACCCTGGGAGAAGCTAAGTACCCCCCCGCGCGCACACACACACACTTTGCAACTCCACATCACACCTAGTCTCAGACCTTGGGCAAAAATGCCTGAGTGTTCCCGGGTTTAGATCCTGCCCTGGCTCCGCCCACAGTTCTCAGGTCCTCCCTTCCAAGGCCAAGGGACTGCTTCACAGTAATGGTGAGGATCAGGTTTGTGGGTGCAGGGCTATTTCCACCTCACAGGTATGGAAATAGGAAATCTCTTACTGGCCTGGAGGGTTATAAAAATGGGCCGGATATAAGGGACACTCCCTGGCTTGGGGTATGAGGCCTGGTCTTGGCCTTAAGGAGGTGGTTAGAGTTGGGCCAGCAGAGCCTAGTTCATCTCCTTCCCTTCCTATGGCCAGGGACTTTATAGGAAAAGGACAGCCTGTGTACCCTAATGAGGGCCACAGGGACCTCTGCCTCAGAGCCCCCCCAGGCCCACCCTTACCTTTGCCATAGAAGTACTTGCGGTAGTAGCCTGCACCCAGGTCTGCATGCTCCAGGCTGTAGGCTGTGGTCCGGTTCTGTGGCTCCTCCAGAACTGATACGGCCGCATTAGGCAGTGCAGGAGGCACAGGTGGGGACACTGGTCCACCCAGACCTAGCTCACCTTCACCTCCAAGTTCACTCACAAAGCCAGGTGCCCCAAGGAGTAAGTCTGAGCTGGCAGCCTGGTCCTCAGCTAAGGCTGGGGTCCCAGAGCTGGCCTCTACTTGGCTACCTGTCCCTCGAGGTCGTGGGGCCCAGTCAAACAGCAAGCTTTGCACATCATAGTGAGCAAACCACCGGGGTTCCAGCACTAATGGGAAGGTGGGCTCTGGCTCCTCAGCTGGCAACCCCAGCAGTGCCAGGGGGTCAGTGAAGAGCCGGGTAGGGGTGGCAGCAGGGCGGCTGGCTTCTTCATGGCTGTGAGCCCGAGCCCGGGGGCTGGCTGGTGTCGGGGGCCGGGCCTCACCTGCATCACTGCCACTGCGCAGGAGTGGGCCTCGGGTTGGCCTTGGCTCAAAGGTGTGTGGAGTCAGTGGAGGCCGGGCTGGTTGGCGTAGCTTACGGGCAAAGAGGTCATCGGTAGGTGCTGGGGCCAGGCCCCTCCGAGGGCTCCCCACACCGCCGGCCCACATGGGCGAGCTCTGTGAGCCTGACTCTCTGGGGGCCGGGCTGCATTAGTGGGTACGGGTCCGTGGTGCCCAGCCAGCAGGCTGAGGTTATGGTGGGTCCTGCCCTGAAGGAAGAAGGGACTTCTCAGAGGGGCCTGGAGAGAAAACAGGAACTCAGGCCCCTAGCCCAGTCTTCTACCACCCCAGTTGGCTTCCGGCCCCCTCCAGGACCATCAAAGCTGCTTCCGCTTTCCTGGCCACTTCCTTGTCTGCCTGAGGCTGAGGTTTCCAGCCCCCTCCCAGTCTTAGCACTGGGTAAGGTCAGGGGCTGGGCTGTGATACCCAACCTCTGACAGTCCTGGTGCCTGGTCAGCCAAGGGGGCATCAGGGTCACCCAGTTCCCACTTATACCCCTTGGCTGTGGACTAGGCCCAGGGTAAGGGTCGCCACCAAGTCCTGGACAAAGTTTCCACTGGGACGGGAAATCAATGCAGCCACTGGTGTCTGGGTCCTGCCCACTTGACAAAGGGAGGACGTCCTGTCCCCAGAGACCTTCCTCCCTGGCACTTCCCACTTCCTCCAGGGTCCCTGAGGAGCACAGCACCCAAAGCCCGCTCTCAATGCCCTGGTTCCCGCAGCCTCAATACCTCAAGGACACAGGGGCTCCTAGGGCAGCTACAGGACAGAAGCAGTGACAAAAGGACTTCCTTTAACACAGGAAGTGGCCCCAACTCTGAGCCCCAGTCCCCTGTGTGGCCCCCACATCCTGAGGAAGGTGCTGGGGTCACACTGGCTCAGTCATGAGACCCAAGTCACCTATGTCTGAAGATGAGCCCAGGCCTACTCTCCTGCACGTTCTGAGCCTACTTTGGGGGTAAAAGAGGAACTAATGTTGCCTGGATCCTTTTGCTAGAACTGCCTGGTCTCACTTTATAGGGAAGTCAAGGTGAGGTCCAGTTCAGGAGGAGACGCTCTTGCCGGAATCAATTCCATATTAGAACGTGAATGTGAATGTGGGTCTGTCACTCTAGGGAGCTGCACCTGCCTACTCTGTGCGTAGGTGTAAGGCAGGTCTCTGGCTCAAGGTCTCACAGGATGTAAGGCTGAGACACCCAAGGCCCCAGGGACCCACTAAGGGAGGAAATGTGGTGAGGCTAGGCTCAGCAGGTGCAAAAGGTAGTTGTAAGAACTTGGGAGAGCCAGCCCTGAGTGCACTGTGGATGGAGTCAACAACTGGGACGGGGCACGGAGCCCTCACTAAGTGCACGCATCTGTTGTCATACATTGGCCAGTGTCATCAAAGGGGGGCTGGACCAGAAGGGAATGGGGAGGAGCTCTGTATACCCCTCAGCTGGCCTCTAGAACTAAACAAGGGTTAGCCTCCAGGCAGGGGTTTCCTGCCTTGGTTTCTCCTAGGACAAGTGCTGATGCCGACTGTCTCTAAAAGGCGATTAACTGTTCCTATTTTCTTCCAAGTCTGCTAGGAGGGTGACGCTGATTATGACTACACGTGGGATATGCAGGCCTCAGGTTGCACCAACCAAGGTGGGCACATGCAGACTTAAGCTTGGGCTGCATATGGGGTCGGGGTGTAAGGTGAGAGAGGCCATCAGGGAGGGGTCTGTGAAGGCCCTGGTCAGAGTGGGCTGAGCTCTGTACACGCATGAGTGTGAGCTCTGTGAATGTGTGCAGCCCAGCCCGTGGGGTGCCTCTTGGTCTGGCTGGGTGCCATCTCTGGCCCTGCCTTAAGGGGTGTGCTCGGGCTCTGCCCCCCATTCCACAGCTTCACACAAGGTCCATTGAGGCCAGGACATTCCTCTCAGCCTGTGTCACTCTGGGGGGAAAAGGGGGCGGCCCCGCCCCCACAGATCCGGAAGGCCTGGCTGCCCCAGGAGGAGGCTCTGGATGCTTCCCAGCACATCTGGAGGTCATGACCCCACTTCTCTTGCCAGGGGGCGCTACAGATGTTTCCTCCCAGGCTAGACCCGGGACTGGGGGCAGTGCGCAAAGGCTGGGAAGGAGGTCACCCGGGAAAAGGGGAGCCCCAGAATAGGGGAGCCCCATACACTCCCACCAGCAGGAGCAGCTGCCAGCACTGCTAAGCGAAATCCAGAGCCTATGAATCCACTCAACGGCTCGCAAGCCAGGTTGGGCTGTTACGCAGAGAAGGGAGTGGGAGCTGCCAGCAGGAGACAGAGGACTGGACATGCTGACTCCAGACTGAGCTGGAGCCGGAGGCTGGAGTGTGCGGGCGGCCCAAGCAGCGCGGACCCCCGACCTGCCCCACACCTCCGGCCCAGGCCACCTTGCTCTGCGCCCAGCCCGACCCCGGGGTCTCCCGGCCCCTGATCCCGCCTGTACCTCTCGGGCGAGCCCGGCTGCTGCCGCCTCCCGCGCCGGTCGGTCGCCTGTTCTCTCCCTACAGCTCCGGGCGGTGCTCCGCCTGGGGGCGGGGCCACGGCGGGGGCGGGGCCTCGGTAGAGGGGCAGGGCTACCGGGAGCTGTTTGAGGCGGGAAGCACCGCGGGCGGGCGGGGACCTCAGGCAGTGGTCAGCCCCACGCATCCTGAGGCTAGACCCGGCCCAGGCCCAGGCAGCGGCCAGGCCTCCCTCCGGCCCACGCCCTCTGCAGAGCTGTGGACCCGTGTACCTGCCTGGCAGACCACGCGGGACTGCCAGTGGGCCACCTAGTGTCCAGCCGCGGCCCCGCAGCGGTGGGCCCGCAACCAAGCAGGTGCTCGGGCACTGGAGCGACTCCACCGAACAACCTAAGTGCTAGGCCTGGGGAACTGGTCCACACACGCTCCCTTTATTGTTAAAACTTAAGTAGGTGCAATCCTCTTTAAGCTTAGAACAACCAAGGATCAGAGAAAGGCTGAGTGAGGACTGTGCCAGCCACTAGGGCTGGAAACCTTTGCCTGAAGAGCTGACAGGCTGGTGAGGAAGGACAGCCACGCCACCCGATGCCCACCTCGGTCTCACCTCCATATCCTCCCATTCCTCAACCCCACATCCTTCACCCTCACTTCACAGGGTGTTCATCCACCCTGACTTGACCACCTCCACTGCCCTCACCTAGTCGCGTATAAAAGAAGAAACTGCCAACCAAAATCAAAAATAGTGTTATTAATTTGGTGTCTCTGAAGTTTGTAGTTTTTAAGAGTTCTCCACACTGCTTTCCATAGGGGTTGAACCAGTGAACTAGTGAGAACTGGTCTTTTTTAAAGGAGTGGCACTAGACAGGGTGAACAGGCTTCAGTGTATGAACTTACACCAAGGGACATCTGGATACAAATGCTTGACCCAATAGGACTTTAACATATATGAGAGAATGCATGAAATCCATTGGGGGGGGGCTAAATTTGACTAAGTTCTGTTATAGTTTGTTCTATTAAATGCACAAAAACAATTAAAATTTGTACATTGTGGCACACACCTTTAATCCCAGCACTTGGGAGGCAGAGGCAGGTGGATCTCTGTGAGTTCAAGCTTTGCTTCTTTGGTTACAAAGTAGGTTGAACAATTCACAGCTTTTTATTCCCACCCCAAAAAAAAAAAAAAAAAAAAAAAAAAAAAAAAAAAAAAGACAAAAAGGAACAAAACCACCCTTGCCATGTCAGGCCCCAGGTCCAGGCCAAGGAGACCAGCCTTGCAGGCAGTGCAGGCCCAGGGGCAGAGTCAGTCCTGGCCACGGGCACAAAGAGGGACCAGCCCATGGGTTTGGCTCTTAGGGCCTGGCTAGGAGGCTACTGCCTCAACTTGGGGCATCCAGGCCTGATCAGGGAGAGGTCAGGGTCAAGGTTAGAGGTCTGGACTGTTCAGTTCTGGTACTCTGGCCAAAACTGCCAGAGGTCAGGGTGCAGACATCAGAGCCAAAGCCAGTCAGTTCTGTGGTCCAGCAGAGGGTCAGAGGCAGCAGAGTCTGACAACAGAGGCCTGGGATGGGATCCAGTGGATGCCAGGCTACTCAGTACTGATGTTCCAGCAAGGGCTGGGCAGCTGGGCTTTCACGTTCCTCAACAGGGGCAGACCAGTCACCTGGGGCTCCAGTGGGTGTGCCACTCTCCGGAACACTACTGTCCAAGCAAGGAATGTCCTGGGCGGCTGTTCTGAGGGGTGAGGCCTCAGAGCTGACATTAGGACTGAGGCTGAGGTCTAGAGGGGCCTGTAGAAGGGGACACAGATTAGAAGACAAGTAGACCTGAGCCTCCTGGGATCTCATTCTTCCATAGGTTCTTACCTGAGATTTGGGGGTGCCTCCTTTGGGGCTCCCTGAGGCTGGCTCCCCATCGGATCCTCCCAGTCCCTTCCGACCCCCCAGACTCCACTTCCCACTGGGTCCCTCAGAACTCAGGAGCCCAGGGCCAGGGGGCTTTGAGGGCCGGGGAGCCTCAGTGGGAGCAGGTGAGGCAGGGGGTGGTCCAGGGAGCCGAGGGGGAGGCCACTGCAGCAGAGGAGGGGGCCGTCCATCACCAGAGCCACTGAGGGAGGGCCGTGTACCCCAGCTAGGACCTGGTGGGAGGGGCTGCTCACTGCTGCCTGTAGGAAACAGATAAGAGCAAAGGCCTCAGCTGGACTGTAGTCTCACTCACTGGTTCAGCCCAGCCTTGCCTGCTCACCTGCTGTGTTCTCAGGCGTGGGGTGTGCCAAGGGGGGATTATTGCTGAGGGAGGTCAGGCCGCCACCCCCACCACAGTCCGAATCATCCACATTCCCACCACTGTTGCAGCCAGCGCCACAGCCCTTGTGAAGCCTGGGTGGGGAAGGGGAAGTATTGGAGGTCTGGGACTAACACCTGAGGTCTCCTTTGAGCCTCAAGAATCTCATTTCTTGACTTTGCTGCCTAATTTATAACGTCTTTTGCTTAAAAATTGCAGGGCACTGTCAGTTTTCAGGGAAGGGGGGCCCCTCTGAGTAGGGGGGGTCCTCTCTCAGGTTCAAGTTTACTGGCTCCAGCACTTCCTCTCTGTGACCCTGCAGGGAGTGGCTTCACCTCCCAGCACACCCTGCTTCCTCTAGAAGTCAAAGAGCAGGAGCCCTCAGGAGGCCTGCTAGGCTGGGGTAGCAAGCAGCCAGGGCTCACCTCTCCCAGCTGTGCAGGAGCCATCGGGCGATGGCGCCCAAGCTGATAGGGCCACCCCACAGTGCTCGAAGCTGGGGGTGGCTGCCAGCCAGAGAGGTGGTAAGGGGTGACACGTAGATGGGGTAGCCCAGTGGCTGGTCGCAGGAGGAATTGATCATGTTGCGGAGTGCCTGCTTGGCATTCTGGATGCTGCCACGCTCAGGATTACGGTTACGCAGAAACACCAGTTCCTGTTGCTGGCCAGCCCACAGCCCACGCACACACTCTCGGTTCACCTGTGGACAACCACACCAATGGGTCAGGCACTGGCACCAGGAAGGGCCTCGGTAGTAGGGCAGGTTAGGGCCATCCCCACCTTGATGACCCGGAAGCTGAGGTGACGCCGGTTGAGCATGATGATCTTGTACTCATCAGATGCATCATCCATGACATGGCGCAGGGCTAGCAGGGAAGGTGTGTTGCTGAGGATGGCACTGCGCCAGGCAGGGTCACCCTCATGGGAGATAACCAGCCGCTCCTCGTTGGACGCAATGGCATCATACAGGGCTGCTGGTTCTTCATACTCATCAGGGGAAGTGAAGTGGTCCTGGTAGGGAGGACAGGAGTCAGGGCCCCTGGCTGGGGGAGAGACTTTAATCCCCCAGCTGCCCCCACACACAGCCTTGGCACTTCCCCCACCTGGTGAAGCTTGAGGGCCATGCGAACCCCAGGGGCAACTACACGGTGAAGCAGGTCCATGTCGGCAAAGACCCATTCGTCACGAGGGGAGGTAATGCGAAAGTCCCCCTTGAACAGGGCGTGCAGGCCATAGAGGAAGGGCTCCAGGCTGGGTGGGGAAAAGACATCAGCAACAGGGGGAGAGCCAGGAGGGGTCTGTGTCCCCATCCTGCCAAAGAAGCTAGTCTCTCGGTGTCTCTCAAGGACCGCTGGGAGCAGTCAAGGTTCTGACTACTACTTGTCCATTTGAGAGCTGTGCCACCAGGTAGAGGAAGCATGGTGTCCAGGAATGTGGAGCCGGGGGGTGGGGGTGGGGGCAGCAGATAGCCGAATTGGGCCCTTACCTGGCAGACATGCTGTGCGAGGCTGTCCCCAGAGCCCGGCGGCCCAGCACACACAGGCCGAAGCACAGTGTGACCAACGGTGAATTCCAATCCTGGTCCACGGGCTGTGGCACAAGGACCCCCAACTGAGCTCAGCTCAGACCAGGGACTAGGAACTTGGGTGGGGGTGGGATCCAAGCTAAGGGAGTCACCAAATATGAAGGGAGGGAATAGGAAGTCCAGGTTCCCAGAGCTGGGATGGGGCAGGCCCAAGGTATGGGTAGCCTGACCTGGCTGCGCCGAGAGGCACAGTACTGGATCCACTCAAGGTGCACAGCGCAGAAGGATGGCAGCGTGAGGCCAGAAAGGCGAAGGTCATAGTCTTCATCAACACTCAGTGAGAAGGTGGGGTCTGAGTCTGCGTAGCCAAGGGCCCGCACCGGCCGTAGGGCAGCTGCAATGCCCTCATGGTTCAGCCAGGCTTCCAGTTTTGGAGAGCAGCTCACATAGTAGATGATGCTCTGGGAGAAGGGGGGCAGGTGTCAGGAGTGCAATTCCACTCTGAAACCTCAGCACTGGGGAGAAAGCCTGAGTTACAGTGCTTCCTGTGACAAAGCTCCTGCAGCTCAGTCCAGCTCTCTGAAATTGCCTGGGGGAAGACATTCCCTATCCAGAGTGTGAGAACCAGTAGGAAGCATCCCACGTAGAGTGGCCCTGCACTATGACCGTGGTATCTGCTTGCCTCCCTCTTTCTGGCAACCCTAGAACCTGCCCCATTTGTAAGGGGAACTGAGCCTTACACAGGTGAGTCTTGCCCACTGTCATAACAGGGCAGACTGAGCTGGAATTTGAAGATTTTGTGGAATGTCCAGATCTTGGGGCCAGGAAGTCTACGTGCCCTGGGTCACCGGTCCCTTTAGGCTAAGAGCTGTGATAGCCACAGGACCTTCTCTAAAAAAAGCCAGAGGTTCACACCTTGTAGCAAAGTCCAGTGTCTGGCTACTCTTAAAGGGCCCTGTTGATACCTAAGCAGGGGCTGGGAAAATGAAGAGGAGCTTTCCAGATGGACATGGCTGACAGCACTGGGCCAGCAACTGGCAGTGAGCAAGGTTATGGGGAGTCCATGTAGCACCCTGAGATAGAATTGCTGGGGATGGCCCTAGGCCTGGTAAGTGGTGGGAAAGCCCTGGCTGAGAGAGTGGTGCAGCTGTCCATGGACAGGGTGCCTGGGCTGAAAGAAATCCAACAGGGCCATGTGGTGGGACACTGAGAGGCTAAGAGCCTGGACCAAATGGCCAGGGCAGAAGCTAGGGAGACCTAAAGCCTCCAACAGCTCCAACAGCTCCCTGGGTAGAGCACACGGATCGATGGCTACACTGTAGGGAGGGGGATTCATCTTGCACAGACATGGCGTTGGCATGAGAAGGCAGTCTGGTGAGGGCTGGGCTGCTGCCTTACTTCAGATTGGTCTTCCTGCCCAGAGAGCATCTTTATGATCCAGGTACTACCATATTCCCAGAGAAGACCCATCAGTACTGCTTCTAGGTCAGGAGAGAAGCTGGTCTGGCACATGCCACTGCAGTTGACTTTATTTTTTTTCGGTCTTTTTGAGACAGGGTCTCCCTGTAGCCCAGCTGTCCTGGAACTTACTACATGGACCAGGCTGGCCTCAAACTCACAGAGATCCACCTGCCTCTGTTTCCCAAGTGCTGGGATTAAAGGTGTGCATCACCACACCCGGCTTGCACTTGGCTTTTAACAGTCACTGTGGAGAGATTCTCAGAGGGAAGATAACACCAAGGCCCGGGACTTGCTAGTGAGAGTTCCTGCCTGGGAACATTCCTTGCAGGTAGTAGTGCCCAAAATGCTACCTGGGTCTATTTCACTGACCACACATGGGCCTCAGGACCACAGTGCCTTCCTGCACTTGTCCTCACTGTTAAGAGGTCTGAAGGCTGTTTCTTCTCTTATAACAGGGTCACCACATGGGTCCCACCTCTCCAGGGGGTCACCAGAGAATGCAACAGGGCCATGAGCATGCCATGCATGCAGAAGTTGAGGACCCGAGCACAAGGCTTGGCTTTGGGCAGCCGTGGAAGGTGGTGGCACTAGCCAGAGGTTGTATCTTGTCTCCTGCCCACTACATTTGATGATGCCCTCGGCATGGCCAAGGCTGTACAGAAGCTGGTCTGGCCCACCTCAAAGGCTCAGCACTGCCACACCTGGGCTCCTAGAACAGCTGTGACCCAGCCCTGCCTTGTCCATAGGGCTTCACCTCCGCATCTTAAGCACATCTCCAAGAGCCTCTACCTAGCTCCATTCTGCCCCTCTTCTCAGGCTAGGCTGAGCCAAGCTGGCTTCAAGGGGTAGTCATCAACCTGGTTTCAAGGGGTAGTCGTCAACCTGGCTTCAAGTAGTCAACCTGGCTTCAAGGGGTAGTCAACCTAGCAGGGCCAGGCTCATTGTAGCCTGCAGCCTCGGCCTGGCCTCCACCTGGTACACAGCCATCGAGATATAAGTGACTATGAGTGTGACTCCTGGGAAGCAGTGGGGAGACCTTGGTAAAGGCACTGCTCTTGAGATGGGTCGGGAATGTCGATAGGACTGTGACACCTGGGTAACCTGGGGTTGCGAATGTTCCTCTGGGTTATGGCCTGCTTAGAAAAGTGGAAGGACAGAGCCCCACAGACTCCTCCCTAAAAGTGGTTGGTTGAGTAGACAGAAATGAAGGCTTCTCAGTTCTTCCAACACGTGACACTGAGAGATGTCCACGGGAGCCTGAGGCGAAAGAACAGATGGCCACATGAGTCTGCCTCAAAGGGAACCTTAGTTGGACAGGCTCAGCAAGCCCAAGTCACTCCTCTAGGCCCCACAAAGAGTTTCAGGATAGATCCTGAGATCACATGGAGCCTGAACTGTGACCACCAACCCATCGCACTCCCACAGTGCCTGTATTTTCAGCATCACAAAACCTCATTATTCCTTCTATGCCACAAGTCTGCAAAGCCCTACTTCTCAAGGGGAAATGGAGACAGGACAAGGGAGGAATATTCTAGGCTGCCCCTAGAATCCCAGCCCAGAGCTCCAATCCCTCACTGTGTCTTATCACTCTCAGATCTCAAGACCCTCTGTGGCCTGGCTTGGAGACCCCAGGCCAAGGCAGCAGACCTCACAGGTTGAGGTGCCAGGCCTGGGTTTAAAGGCTGGCTCTGTCACATTCTAGTGCCAGAGTTCCAAGCAATCATTTCACCCCATAAGCCATTTGTCTGTGTGCACGTGTGCATGTGGAGGCCAGAGGTTAACATCAGGTGTCCTTCTCAATCACTCTATGGTATATTTTCAATCAAGGTCTCTCACTGAACCTAAAGCTTACCAATTTGGGCAGACTAGGTGGCCAGCAAGTCCTGGGATTCTATATCTACCTCCCCAGCTCTGGAGTGTAGGCGTATACCACTATACACTGTGCCCTTTTACAGAGATCTGAACTCAGACCCTTGTGCTTGTACCATAGCACCTTACCAACTAAACCATCTCCTCAGCCCCCCTCTTCCTCCTCCTCCTCTTTTTTTTTTTCGGAACAGTCTCACACAGGCCTTGAATTCCCACTCCTTCTGCCTCCACCTCCCAAACAGCAGAATTACAGTGCAATGCAGCATCTATGCAGGGAGTCATGGGGCCTCTCCAGGTTTGTGTGGCAAAGTCTACCCAGCTCAGCTCAGGTGAGGAGCCTAGCACAGTGCCATCCTCCAGTAAAGAACACCACTTGGTTCCTGTGATTACCCACATGGCCACTGGCAGCACCACCACTATAACCAAGCGGGGTAACGCATGGACCAGGAACTGGTAGGTTTTGTTTTAATTTTGGTACTGGGAGTTGAAACGAATGTCTCATATGTGCTAGGCATGCATTCTACCACTGAGCCACATTCCCAACTCTGGGCTGGAGATCCTGAAAACATACCTCAGCCAATTGTTCCTGCTGGGCCCAGTAGCCTGGAAGAGGGTCCATGCATGTGCTGACCATGGGCCCTTCACGCTCACAGCCTGAAGTAGGACTTGTAGAGCATGCAACAGGGAAAGCCTGCCCTGGGCACCCTTTACCAGGGCCTCTGTGGCCTAGGCACACTTTAACCCGGGCCTCTGTGGCCTGGGCACCCTTTACCAGGGCCTCTGTGGCCTGGGCACCCTTTACCAGGGCCTCTATGGCCTGGGCACCTTTTACCTGGGCCTCTGTGGCCTGGGCACCTTTTACCAGGGCCTCTGTGGCCTGGGGACCTTTTACCAGGGCCTCTGTGGCCTGGGCACCCTTTACCAGGGCCTCTGTGGCCTGGACACCCTTTACCAGGGTCTCTGTGGCCTGGGCACCCTTTACCAGGGCCTCTGTGGCCTGGGCACCCTTTACCAGGGCCTGTGGCCTGCTTTCTGGAGGTAACGAGGCCTATGCTTCCCTTGGCCAAAACAGGCTGCTAACATTCCAGAAGTCAGGGCACTGAGGATGCTCACAGTGCTGAGCTTAGATAGGATGAGTCACTGCCCAGTCACCACCTGCCTGCCATACCTTGACATAGTAGGTGATGAGGATCTTGCGGAGGTCGAACACCTGGAGCATAGAGGCAGCGTTGTTGTCACTGATGCTGTACCCTTCTAGCACGTATTTGCTGGCTGTCACCTCCCAGGCCAGCCAGCGCTGCCCAAAGGCAGCGTTGAAGGACAGGACCCGTGGCAAGTGGCCAGGCTCACAGCAGCAGCAGCCCTCGTCCTCCTCCACACCTTCAGTGATGGCCTCCACCTCGCGCTGCTGGCAGTATGTGCCTGTGAGGAAGGGTGCCCAGTCAGAGCCACTAGAACAATCCGGACTTGCTCTTCCCAGCAAGCGCCCCATGTGGCACTACAGACCTGCTGCCACTCAGCCTCCACCCTGGACACTGAGTAAAGGTTACTGAAAGAATGGATTAACAAATGAGGTACTTTCTCCTCAACCCCAACAGTCACAGTGGGAAGTCGGGGAGCAAAGGTTTTGGTCTCCCATTTAGAAAGGCAAAGACTGAAAGTTAAAAAAAAGTGACTTGTGGAAATGGGCTGGGAAAAAATGACTTGTTCAAAGTCGTGGTGCTTATAAGCTGTGCTTGGAGTAGCTTATCCTGCACCTTAAAGATATAACATTTGAACCAGGTGTGATAGCGCACTTGGGAGGCAGAGGTAGGCGGATCTCTGAGTTCAAGGCTAGCCAAGTCTACATCGTGAGTTCCAGGCCAGCTGGAGCTACAGGGAGACCCTGTCTCAAAAAGACCGAAAAAAAAAAAAAAAAAAGAACATCTGAGTTCCTGAGAACAAGGAGCTGTCATATCCAAGTGCTGTGCATGGTGCTTCACAAACACCCCATTAAGACCACAGAGCAGGCCAGAGTCTGACACAACAACCCAGAGCTCCAGGCCTCAACTTTCGAGAGTGACCTGTGGACTCACTATGGGCTCAAAGGCAGGAGGAGGGGATGTCGTTAGACAGTGATTGGCCAGACTGGGAAATCCAGGCTTAAGAAGAAGAGCACCTTGCTGAAGATCACCCTGCAAGCCAGGCTGAGCTGGACTGAAATCTGGCCCTCACACAGTATAAAATGCTGTGCCCTGGCCCAGGCCCTGGTCATGTGTCCCCTGCTCCCCTCTCCAACTTGGTCTTGTGGCTCACCCCGGAACTCAAGGCCACGCAGCTGGAAGGTGACGAGGCCATTGCCAACCTCGATGAGGTGCACCAGCGCATTGAGGTAGTCGGAGGCCAGGACAAAGCAGTCACCAGGGCCATAGTTGCCCCAGCGACCCAGCACCAGATCCCCACACAGGGTGTGCTGCAGCGAGCGTGTCAAATGCTCATAGAAGATGGAGTTGAGGTTGTTATCATCTGCGCCTAGGACCCAGAACAAATGTAAATGGGCAGATGACATATAAAGACTTTCCAGGGAGCCCTGCCAGGAAGCTCCTGGATGGTTGTATACGCACCAGGGTTCCGGTCTAGCTGTGTCACCAGGCGGGTGTTGGAATGATCCACACGTTTAGTGCTGTTTAGAGAGAGAAACAGTGTGTCAGTGTGAGCAAGGCTACCCACTGGCACATCCCCTCTGCCCGGGTTCCACCCTGGTCCTCTCTGAGCTCACACCTCTGTACTATGAGCAGATGTCTCCTGTGACAGTCCCACCTGCAGCTGTTACAAGAGGGGGTGACCTGAGAGGACTGTGTTTTCACAGGCCAGGCTGCCTCCGAGGCCTTGGCCTGGTCCAGGTTTGGCTCTCAGCAGACTCACCCCTCAAGTGTCCCACTGATGCCAAGCACTCACACCCTTGCTGTGGGCATCCAGAGCCCTTTCTGGGGGGCTTTCTGACCAAGGCTTCAAGGTCCCATCTCCTTGCCAGTCATCAGCGTCCAGCTTTCATGATACTTACTTGTAGTCCCGTTCCCAGAACTTAAGGGGCCTTGCATAGGACATGATGAAGACAGCACTGCCCAGCAGGGGGTTGAGCGGTGTAGAGAAGAGCCCCGAGAGCAGGGCCTGGACGAACAGCATGGCCGAGTCTGGGTATGAGTCAAGGAACTGACAAGCACATGGGACCATCCTGCTTCCCTCTCCTCCCTCCTCAGCCCCAGGCTGCAGTTCTTCCCACACATTCCACCCACAAAGGAACAGCAGCTGGATACGTGGCACAGCAAAGGGCTGGGCAAAGGCATGGAAGGCTGAGCCCCAAGTGATCTGCCAGGGTGCGATGTAGGTCAGCACGAAACGCAGCTTGTACAGCAAGTCCCACAGCTGCAGGCATCAATGATGGGGAGGAGACAAAACACACACAAGGCCACTTCTGCTGGTCGGGTTTGCCAAACCTCCAGACATCAGGCCCACCGGAGCCAACCTCAAGACCACTCCCAGCCCCTTCTCTCCGGACTTGGCTTGAAGCACCTGATATCATGGGTAACACCCAACTGACTCAAAAGAACATTAGCCACTTAATTCCCACAACAACCCTGGGAGCTTCCTATTGCTTTCCCCAATTCAGAGATGGGAAACTTGGGATTCAGATATGTAGAGAAGTGACTTGCTTAGGTCTCATAGCTCAGTCACCGGTAAGGAATTCCAAGAGATGACTCTAAACCCTGCCCTCAGAAGGGTGTAAGCCAAGCCTGGTGGGACAGGTATTTAGGAGGATGAGACAGGAGAATCACAAGTTTAAAGCCAGACTGGAGCTGGAGAGATGGCTCAGAAGTTAAGAGCACTGGCTGCTCTTGCAAAGGACCCAGGTTCAGTTCCCAGCACCCACATGGCAGCTAACAACCGTCCCTAAATCTAGGGAATGTGACACCTTCTTCTGGCCTCTGCAGGCATTATACACACATGGTACACATATACATGCAGATAAAACACATAAAGTAAAAAAAAAAAAAGAAAACAAATTTAAAACCAGCCTGGACTACAGAGCGAGTTCAGGTCAACCTGTACAACTTAGTAAGACTCTATCTCCAAATAAAAAGTAAAGACAGCTGAGCTGGGTGTGGTGGCACATGCCTCTAATCCCAGCACTCGGGAGGCAAAGGCAGGTGATCTCTAAGAGCTCTAGGCCAGCTTGGCCTACATAGCAAGTTCCAGGCCAGCTGGGGCTACAAGGAGATTCTGTCTCAAAAAGACCAAAAGAAAGGTAGACAGCTGGCAGAACAGCTCAGTAGAATGTTTGTCCAGTACTACCCAGGCCCTGAACTCAAATCCAAGTTAATGGAAAGGTACCTTGCTGTGTCTGTTGCCATGCTAGGCCAGGCCAGCAAACAAGCAGCAAAAAGAAGAAAACTCAGGGGCCCATGGCAGGTGGCAGGCAGCGGGCTTAGGATAACTGAGGGAACGTTTTTTTGTTCAGAGTAACTCCCAAGCCCTGAGTGGGGAACCTCAGAGTCTGGGAGAGCAGCTAGACACCCAGGCCCTAGGTGTATACTCTCAGTTCTGAACCAGGCTCCAAGGCAGTGGCTGTCAGAGGGACAGAGCTGAGAGGTTCTATGGCATCCAGAGGACAAGGCCAGGTCCTGACATCACCCCACTGGACCTGGGGTGAAATCCTGGCTGGCCACCAATTCCCAGAAGGTCCGGAGGCAAGTTCACCCTTTGAAGCCTCAGCCTGCTCTCTGCAAGGAAAGGTGGAGGAATCCCTTCTCCTCAGGCTTTTGAAAATGCCCAGAGCTAAAGTAATATAGGGCAGCAGGTAACAGGGCTGCAAGTTCAGGTCATGCTCTTTCCCCACCCAGGAAGAAAATTCTGCTATGTCTGTTGGTCGGCCTGAGTCTGGGCCAAAGCCACCAGCTCACCTTACTGCAGAGCAGGGACATGAGGAAGTAGTCCAGCAGAAAGCCCTGGGAGAGACGTGGGTAGTCAAAGTGGAAGAGCAGGACGGTGAAGGCCAAGGTCAGGTACTGCTGGGGTGGGCAACAGAAGGCCGAGCGTAGCAGCTTCAGCCCAGCCACAGTCATCAGCAATGCCCGGCAGCTGTGGGTGGAGCAGGCATTCAGACATCGCAGGGGCTGAGGAAGCAGTGGGCAGACACCCCATCCCTAACCAAACAGCCTGAATACAACCCCAGGCACCTGCTAGCCGTTGGAATGGCCCTTGTTCTTTTGGGTCAGTGACTCTTAGGTTCAGTCACTCTAAAAGGGGTGAAAGGGAACACACTGGCTTCAACTGATAGGTCATCAGGAGCTGGGGTGCTACTTTGGTTTGCAGGCCTCTTAGGTACTACCCATTCCCTTTCTAGGCCTCAGGTTCCTCAAACGGGAATCAAATGTAGATATCGAGAATGGCCTAAGGGGAGCAAGCAGTCCTCACTAGAGGCAGAACTTGTCTGGGTGGCTGACAACAGTGTGGGCATCGACCGTGAGGGCGTTGAGCACCACAGCAGGATAGATGAGGTACTTCTCAACACACTGCAGGCCAGCATAGAGCTTCTCAAACCACATCACCTGGGCAGCACCTGCAAGCAGAAGGTGGGGTGTCCGCCAGCACTGTCCTCCATGGGCCCTCCTCCCAGGGCTGAGGGCCAGCCACCCCAGGGCCAGAAAGCACCCAAGAGGGCAGGCAAACCAGGGGTTGTGTTATCCTGGGACCCAGAGACTTCAGCAAACAAGGGACTATCCTCGGCAGCCCGGAATGAGGATGAAGAGCCCCACAGAGCAGGGGCTCAACATGCCACTTGGCACATCACAGGCTCGGGGTAGCGGCTTTGCTGTCTATGGAAATAAACCTGACAATAAACTTTTATAGACGCCCACCAGAGATGGGCACAGCTCATGCAGAGCAGGCTGAAGAGGCCGGGTACAAGGTGACCCCAAGCGGCAGGCCCTTCTGAGGGACAAGCTCCCTTGGTTTCAGCTGATGGAAGATACACACGGTTGCTGGTCCAAGGAAACAAAATCTCACATTGTTTAAGAAAAACGAGGACCAGAGAAATGTCTCAGGGTAAAGGCACTTGCCAAGCCTGACAAGTTCAAGCCCCAGAACACATTTGGTAGAAGTTGTCCTCTACCCTCTACATATATGCAGTGGTATACATGTACACACACTAAATAAATGAAAAAATTAAATTGTTAAAAGTGGAAGGAAAAAAACTGACTCCACCAAGTTGTCGTCTCACTTCCACATGTATGCAGTGATGTGTGTGCACACAATACATCTTTCTGGTTTTTTTAATGTGTTCTGCCTACACATATGTAAGTGCATCTGTGATGTGTAACGCCTATCAAAAGAGGGTATTGGATCCCCTGGAACTGGAGTTATGGAAGGTTGTTAGTGGCCATGTGGGTGCTGGGAACTGAACCCAGGTCCTCTGTAAGAGCAGCCAATGCTCTTAATGGCTGAGCCATCTCTCCAGCCCTAACACATCTCTTTTTAATTAAAAAAGGGAAAACAAGCCGGGCGTGGTGGCACATGCTTTTAATCTCAGCACTTGGGAGGCAGAGGCAGGCAGATTTTTGTGAGTTCAAAGCCAGCCTGGTCTACATAGTGAATTCCAGGACAGCTGGCACTACAGGGAGACCCTGTCTCAAAAAGACACACACACGCACACAAAAAAAAAACCAGTGCAGGCTCGGAGCATGCAGGGCAGATGCAGAGCAGGGAGTTGCGTTCTCTGGAGTCTCGGACCATATAAGATCTGGACATGTCCTTCATATTTGATTGGATTTACAGTGGTTTCAGCAGTGTGCTGCACTTTCTAGGATTATGTAAGAAACTGCCAACTTGGTGTTTCTTGGATTGGATAATGCAGGGAAAATAACATTGCTACACATGCTGAAAGACAACAGACTGGACAGCACGTCCCAACGCTACATCCCATCTCAGAACTCACTATTGCTGGCATGACGTTTACAACCTTTGATCTGGGTGGACACGTTCAAGCCCAAAGAGTGTGGAAAAACTACCTCCCTGTTATCAATGGCATTGCATTTCTTGTGGCTTGTGCAAACGATGAAAGGCTGTTAGAATCAAAAGAACTTGATTCCCTAATGACAGATGAAACCATTGAGAATGTGCCTATATTGATTCTTGGAAATAAGACTGACAGACGAGAAGCCATCAGCGAAGAGAGGTTAGGAAAGCTGTTTGTTTTATATGGTCAGACAACAGGAAAGGGCAGTGTGTCACTGATAGACCTGAGCCTGGCCTCTGGAAGTTTTCACGTGCAGTGTGCTGAAAAGGCAAGGTTATGGGGAAGGCTTCTGCCGGGTGGCACAGTGCATTGGTCAGCAACGGCGCTTGTCCATTCCCATCCCGGCCTCCTCAGCGATCCATCACCCAACATGCATAACTTGAATTCAATAGACTTTTGTTGGTTTCAAAATAGGTGTTTTTTAGATTATTAATACTCTACTTAATTTGAGTGAGACTTGAAAAGTGATTCAAGTTGGTTTGAATATCATAATGTTAGCTTTCTAATTCCAAACAAATAGGTTTTTTAAAAATATTTTATTTAGCTGGGTGAGGTGGTGCAGGCCTTTAATCCCAGCACTCGGGAGGCAGAGGCAGGCGGATCTCTGTGAGTTCAAAGTCAGCCTGGTCTACACAGTGAGTTCCAGGACAGCTGGGGCTACAGGGAGACCCTGTCTCAAAAAAACAAAAAAAAAAAAAAAAAAGAAAAAAGAAAAATTTTATTTACTATTTTATGTGTATGAGCGTATTGCCTACATGTATGTGAGTGTGAGTGTACCCATGTGGTGCAATGCCGTGGAGGTCAGAAGGGTGCATCGTCTTCCCCTGGAACTGGAGTTAAGGATGGTTCACAGCTGCCATGTGGGTGCTGGGAATCAAACCCGGGTCCTCTGCAAGAGCAGTCAGTGCTCTTAACCCCTAAGCCATCTCTTCAGCCCCCCATACGTATACTTTTTACAGTTTATAATTACTTGGTGTCTCCCCAGCACCATTTATAAAGAGCAACTTTCCAGCAGTACAGTTGAAGCAGTTTTTAACAATGTGAAACTACAAATATAAACCAAAAGCTCATCATGTGAAATTTTTTATGTACTTTTTGGAAGTAGTTTTTAAATTTTAGATGGTGTGTCCACCTGTCTTGAGTGGGCATGGTGGTGCACGCCTTTAATCCCAGCACTTGGGAGGCAGAGGCAGGAGGATCTCTGTAAGTTCAAGGCCAGCCTGGTCTACATAGTGAGTTCCAGGACAGCTGGGGCTACAGGGAGACCCTGTCTCAAAAAGATCAAAAAAAAAAAAAAAAAAAAAAAATTCCCTTACTGTTTTCAATGCTTTTTCTTATGCAAATGTCATGCAATAAAACAAACTCTAATGCTTAAAAAAAAAAAAAAAAAAAAGGAGGAAAACAATAAATGTAACCTTTGTAACCTTTGTGTCACCAATCAAGTGTTCAAATTCGGGCTGGAAGGGTTTTCTAAAGACTGCCCAGCAACAAATGGCAAGTAGCTCTTCCCCACTGGTGGCGATTCAGGACGAGAGACCCCTTTCCCTTTCTGCTCTCAGAGACAAAGGAAGGCAGGGGAAGGGCCATGCACAGGCTAAGAGTGTGGCAGAGCCAGAGGTAGGGCTGCAGCTGCCCCAAAGACACCCTCAGCAAAGGGGACCACACCTGTGCTCCAACCTGAGCCACATGCAGCAGGGCACTGGGGGAGGGGCAGGCGACTCACCTCGCACTTCATACTGGCTGTACTCCAGTGGCTTCAGCACAGGCTGCGACAGGCAGAACCAGGGGAGCTGTTTGCGGAGCTGTGGTAGCAGGTAGTGTGTGAAGAGGCCCACGGCCCCAGCCAGCGCATACAACACGAAGCCCAGCACAGACTGCAGGAGGAAGAGGCCATGCACTCAGCTCAGCCAGGGCTCAGTTCACCAGGCTGGGTGGGGGCCACTGAGAGCCCTCAGGCCCAGTAGGCTCTGACCTAAACCAAGAGGAGGGTGACCTGCACGACACCAACCTTCAGGGCGATGAAGACAGTGCTGGCACTGATGGCAAAGGTGAGCACAGCGATCACCACACACATCACTAGGTCAGAGTGCAGGACCTCACGCTGCAGAGCGAGGAGAAATGGCTTAGCTGCGTGCTGCCCAGAGTCACATGTCCTCCCCAAGCCCAGACCAGCCACCTCTCCCTGCTAGAGCTCTCCACTCCTCACCACCGACTGGCGCATCTTCTCTGGCAGTGGGTCTGGGGGCTCCACCCGGGCTGTCTCTAGGCTCCGCTCCTCTAGCTCAGGAAAGAGCTTGCTCCGGACCAGAGACCTAGAGGAGACAGAGTCAGAGGCCAAGGCTGGCACCACTGCTTCTCACAGGTTCTGTCAGTCTTGGCTGCATGCACTGGCTCCCAAGCCCCTGGAATGCACATATAAATACCCAGGGAGCACACACACACACACATACACACACACACACACACACACACACACACACGTGCACACAGTAGGGCAAATGCAGCACCCACCAGAGCACAGTGGGGTCACTGCTCTGCCGGCTCAGGTGGTAGGACAGTGCTACCAGGAGGCCACAGAAGACTGAGAAGAGGACAGGGACGTGCTGCTCCGGCCAAGGTGTCTGGGGAGAGAACCCATTCTGGTCAGGGGAGGTCAAAGTAAGCGTCGGGAGGTCAAGGTGCTCAATGTGAGAAGTCACTGCTGAGTCCAATTCATAGTCCTGTGCAACAACCCCAAGGGTCTCATGCCTGTCTCCCAAGGCCTTACCTTGATGGCCCCAAAACAGAAGCCATAGAGCAGAGCAGCAGCCAGCAGGCTTCGGGTGAGGCTGAAGACTGCGGTGAGTGGGCTGGTGGCAGCTGCGAGCAGGGAGGAACAGGTAAAGCCCAGCTCTGACCTACCTAGAGCCCCCACTGCACCTTGTCCCACTGCTCCTCAGCTCCCACAAGTTGACCTCCCAGGACACCACCCTCCTCCAAGAGGCCTTCAGAGCTTCTAGTGGTCTGGGAAGAAACCACTTGCCTAGGGAAGAGAGGAAAGAGGAGGAGGGGAGACAAAGGGAGGAGAGGGGCAGATCCTGTGACCATATTAATAGATACAGAAAAGGCTCCATAAGAACTAGAGCTGTACATCCAACCCGCCGGCCCTCCTGGCAACAAACGACTCCCCACCCTCAAGCCACCTGTGGGCACCATACCTGTGCCTCCAAAGCCATGCATATCTATCTGTTCCAGGAGGTACATGAGGCAGGTGTTGACCTGGGGCAGGAGGCCCAGGAGGAAGACGAACGGGAAGCACAAGGTGAACACTGGCCAAGAGGGAGAGTGAAGGCCCAGTCAGCCAGCCAGCCTCCCCTTGGCCCACCCTCCAAGACTTTCTCCTTTGGGTCACCCCTGCCCTGTTGTGCCTCACCTGTGGCCACATCCCGGGCACAGAAGAAGAAAGAGGCGGAGAAGAGTGTGAGGCCGTAGAGGGAAACAGGTGGGAAGGGCTGAGCTGTGCCCAGGGCATCCAGTAGCCAGATGAGTAGACAGCAAATGCAGAAGTAGACTGGCCGGCTGTATGCAATCACCCAGTTGTGGCCCTAGGAAGTGGGCCAGTGAGGAGCTGGGCCTTCCCCAGTAACCACCTTTCTGGCATGTAGATACCCAACATGTCCCAGGCCTGGCCATATCCAAGCTAGAGAGCTGGGCAGGACAGGAGCATGGGGTGTGGTGAGGGAGCTCTGCTCCTCTCCCACCATAGCCTCCCACCTGGTCTCAGCTCCTCCCAGGACCTCCTAGCCAGTGGCAGTGCTCCATAAGTACTCACATGCATGGGAGATGCTGCATCAGGCTGCACGCTCTGGAAAAGACAGAGATATGTTGGTAAAAAGAGTCAGTGAAGGGTGAGTAAAGACCCTGAGACCTGCCAGCCCCACCACTTAGTAGTGGTAAATGACCAGAGCAGGACCCCGGACGGTTCTAGGCTTCAGTGTCCTGACCTGTCAGATAGGCGGCTGGCTACAGGGGACCCTACTCACAACTACATTATACCTACACCCCTCAGACCGAGAACAGGGAAAAGGGAAAGGCCTCAGACAGTTGAGGAGAGGACTCCAGGAGCCAGGCTGACCTTGAGCAAGGAGTACTGGCAGGAGGCGATGACCAGGCAGAACTGGAAGACCCAGATGTCAGTGAAGAAGCCCTTGAGCAGCAACAGGTATCCAAGGAAGGCAACCAGGCTGCTCAGCCCAACGCCAAAGATGTTCTCCACTATCCCCCGTGTCCTATGGAAACACGAGAGTCAGCGAGGACCTCCTGCCCCAGCTTCTCGGGTAGGTATGGGAGACAGGACTGTCTAAAGGACCACCTCTGAGACTGCTTGTGCCACCCTCTGGGGAGCCAAGTCTATGGTCTCACAGTGGAGAGGTCAGGCTGCCAAGAATTCAAAGTGCTATCATTCCTGGACCATGCCCATTTCCCGCTCATGCTGACACATGGCTACAGTGTGTGCACATCAGGACATGCACGATGTGCACAGGAGTTGTACTCCACCCCGTCAGAGTGGTAAGACAAGGCCAATGGACAGGGAGCCAGGGTGGAGGTTCTAGGCAAGTCCTCTAGAGCAAAGAAGTCACCTGACTTCTTGATCTGACTTTCTGGGTCTTTGTTTCACTCTCTGAGAATGGGAAAGATGAGAATTGGTTTGAGAACTTCTTTGGGTCATAGCACTCAGTCAAATGGAACACAAAAGGGAAGAAAACACCCAGGAGGGAGCAGCTAGGAATCATCTGCTTTGAGCAAGGCTTTGGGAGAAGAGTTATCACTGTACTCTCCTGCCCCCTGCCACTCCTTCATACCCCAGAGGAACCTAAAGAAACCAAATGGCCAGCCAGGAAGATCCCTGAAAATTCTAAACCAGCCTGAACTACACTGTGAGTTCCAGGTCAGAACTCAAGCCAGGTACAACAATGCTCACTAATCTTAGCACTTGGTATGTGAGGAAAGGAAGATCAGGAATTCAAAGTTAGCCTCAACTACACAGCAGATTTGAGTCCAGCCTAGACTATGAGACTCTCAAAAACAATGAAACAGAAACAACAGAAGAAACCTAGACCATTCTGTAACCATTGAAGCACTCAGGGTCTCTTATGCCATGGCCATTTGTTTCCATAGGCTCAAAGTCTGGAAGACCAAGGTCCTGGCATTTTCCAGGGATTTGGAGCCAATGACTATGGGTACTCACCGGTCCAGCAGGGCCAGCAGGGCCAGCCGTTCATAGCGCACAGAGGTCCAGCGGCCAGGAAGAAACCAGTACTTGTAGCTGTGCTGGGCACGGGGCGGTGCCTCCTCCATCAGTGTCTGCTCCTGGGATTCGTGCAGGGAGTCCTGGTCCAGCAGGTCAAACTGCAGTCCCCATAGCCGCAGCCATCAGCCCCGCCACCCCCATGGCCTGTCATCACCCCTCCCCCAGCACACTGGCCTGAATGAGCTTTTGCTTCAGTACACCAAGTCCCTGCTGTCTAGTGGCCCTGTGGCCTGCCCTGACTCTCCATCATAAGCTTGTTCCTTGCTCCACGTTCCTAGGATACGGCTTGATTGCTGCTAAGAGCTGCCAGGTGCCAGAGTCACCAAATCCCATGTCCATCTTCTTCACTCAGAATCCTCAGTGAAGTCCACTTTGTCCTTCAGGACCTAGCACAAATGCTCTCTCCCCCAAGATGGAGCCATCACTGTACTATGAGGACCCCACTCAGGAGCACAGAGCATCTGGCTCCAAGGACAGGCTAGAACTGTAAGTCCTTGAACAAAGTACTTAACTTCTTTAGGCTGGGTGTACCCTTCAACAAGCATTCATGGGCTAGTGAGATGGCTCAGGCTTATGGTAAAAGCACTTGCAATGCAAGCCCGACAGCCAAAGTTCAATCCCCGGGACCACAGTGGAAGGTGTGCTGCTTAGTTTTCTCATCAGCTTGATAAAAACTAGAAACTTGGGAAGAGGGAGCCTCAATTGAGGAATCACTTCTATCAGACTTGCCTGTGGGCATGTCTCTGGGGCATTATCTTGATTTCTGGCTGAGGTGGGAGGGCCCGGCCCACTGTGGACAGTACCATTCCTGGGCAGGTGGTCTTGGACTGTTTAAGAATGGCAGCTAAATGCTGGGTGTGGTGATGCATGCCTTTAATCCCAGCACTTGGAAGGCAGAAGCAGGCGGATCTCTGTGAGTTCAAGGCCAGCCTGGTCTGCATAGTGAGTTCTCTACAGGGAGACCCTATCTCAAAACAAAACAAAAACAAAAACAAACAAACAACAAAAAACCCCAAACAAACAAAAAGAAAGGCAGCTGAGCAGCCAGGGGAAGCAAGCCATCGAGCAGGTTCCTCCACAGCCTCTGCATCAGTTCTTGCCTCAACTTCCTCCAGGACCATGACCTGAAAGTTCTAAGTTAAATACACCCTTTCCTCCCCAAGTTGTTTTGGTTATGGTGTTTAATCATAGCAAACTGGAAAAGACCTGACTCCCAAAGTTGTCCCCAATCTCCACACACACATACACATCCATTCACATTCTCTCTATCTCTGACTCTGTCTCCCTCTCCCTGACCCTCTCCTGGGCCTGGCCCTACACTGGCAATGGAGAGCCCCAGATGCACAGCTTTTCCTGAAATTGGCCACTAGCTGGATAGCAAGGGTGGCACTGTAGATCTCACATAAAGGTTATACAGAATGGGTCAAGAAGGGGCAGCTGGGCCTGGCAGCAAAGATCTGTTAGGTACTTGGGAGGCCGAGGTAGGAGCATCACAAATTCAAGGCCTTGCCTGTGCTATAGAATGACTTTAAGGCCAGGCCAGCCTAGTCTACTTAGTGAGACCTTGTCTCAAAATAGGAGGGCTGGAGATGAAACTCAGTGAGAGTGCTTGCTTAGCATTCAATCCCTAATGTCTCATATATAAATACATACATACATACACACACACACACACACACACACACACACAGACACACAGTCACATGGAGGATTCAAACACTGCTCAAAGTCTACTTGTGGCCTATGGTGTTAGATACACTGGGATAATTCATTCAGGATTACTCTTTAAACTTTGAGAACATGTTTGAGGTGGGTCTCTGGTTTGGGGCATATGTATGTGTGTGTATATATATATATTGATTGAGCCAGGATTCCACTATGCTGCTTGGGCTGGCCTCTAATTCCTGGCTCAGCTGTTAGAGTAGATGGGACTGAATGAAGCTGAGATCATGTCTAATGCACTCTTAGTACTTCTGCTACACTGGAATGACTGGATACATCATAGTCCATCAGAAGTCAAATACGACACTAGCAGTAACTACTCTGACCAGGCGCATTAATAGGTAACACCTCAGGCAACCAAACACATGACATTCCAAGCATGGGAAACTGAACTGCTTCCGTAGGTTATCACTGTGAAACAGCCATTGTCTGGTGCTGCTCCCCATCCAGGAGCAGGATGGTACTCCAGACACATTTATGAATAAGCAAATGATTTCCTGAGCATTCAGCTCCAAGGTCTGTATATCCTGTCAAACTATCAAAGGCTGGGACACAGTAGTGCCCCCAAGCCCTTCCTCAAGGGGTTTATCCCTCCTGGGGTGCCAGGTTCTCTGCCCAGGCGGGCCTTAGTGATCTGCTTACAGATACCCAGTCCCCTGTTCCCTCAACACAAGCCTTTCACAGCTGCTTCTCACCTCTGGGATCTCCAGGGGCACCCGGCGCACCTGCATGCCCTGTAGAACCACGGGCCTCGGCTGCAGCAGGCTCAGGCCTCCTGTGGCCTCAGGCACATCAGCTGAGTGGAAACTGGAGGAATGTGAGTGACGGTCCCTGTGGGGACAGTGGCCATGAGGGTGAAGGCCATGAACAAGCCCTGGAACTGGGTGGGACGGAAGCCAACAGGTGGTGCTGCCTGTCCCAAGGGTCTGAAGCCTTGGACTACCTGCCCCCGCCCCACCCGGGAGTCAGGAGAAGATGAGTAGGCAGAAGTGCCTTTTTCACAGGCCCTGGGCCACATGTGGAACCTGTGCTCCTTGACCAGAGCCCAGCTTCCTATAAGACTTATTATTTGAAGGACGAAGGAGAACCGCATGCCACAACCCCTATCCTCCTCTCCTCCAAGGCCTGTGCTGCCCCATCACAGCAAAAGAAAAGCAAGGTCAGGCTCAGGACACTCCCCAGAAATATAGCCTACCAGGCCACTGGCCAACAATATGCCCAGCCAGGAGACTCACCAAGCTCCATTGGCTGCCTGCTCCCCCTGCTGCCCCACAGGGTTTTCATAGCCACCTCCTGCCAAGCCAAAGGTGTAGGACCGCCGCACACCTAAGACCGAAGTATGGTAGCACTGTCAAGGACAGGGGATGCCAAGGCCTGATCTAAGTGGTATCAGAGTCAACAAGTGAGGAGGAACCCTTTGACAGTCCCCTCTCATGGCAGCCCAGCCCCTGGGGACCACGTGTTAGATAGGAAGGGGCCTTAGGAGCGAGCGCCTGGCCCATGGTCAGCCTGCCTTGGCTACGGCTCTTTTCTACTACTAGCAGCCTGTGCCTTGGTCCCCTCCTCAGCAGAGCAGGGATGATGACACCCACACCTCACAGATGCTGCAAGGATGACATCAGGCAACACAGGTATAGCACTTGCCCCAGAGCCAAGGGAGAAATAAATGACCAAAAATGCCATTGGTGGGTGGGCTGCCATAGATGACTGTGGGAGACATAGACAACTGGGTGGGATGGGGAAGGACTCACCACTCTCGTCGTAGAAATAGTGCACAGCACCCTCAGAGGTGTCATCAAAGTTGCTGGCCTCATGTACGTTGGGCCCAGCTCGGGTAAGCAGTAGTGAAGAGGCGAAGTGCAGGGCAGAGGGTAGAGTCAGTGCCCGGGAGTGGGAAGCAGCCCGGCTCCGCTGAGTCTCCTGCAAACTGCTGGAGAGGGGCCAGCCTTAAGTCAGCACCAGGTAGAGCCAGCTGGCCCCTCGCTCCTGCAGCCAGAGGGTAGATGCTCACTTTGGTGGCGAGCCCATGACAGAGGCTGGAGGGGTAGGGTTGCTGCCTGCGTTGTGTCGTCTCCGGATCGCCTGGGCCCGCCTGACGTTGCTTGTGCACTCCCGCTGGCCTATCTCTTCAGGCGCTGCCCAGAGAGAGGTCCAAAGCTTAAGTGATAGGTTTGGATAAAGCAGGGGAGTGAGGAGGGGCTGAGGAGGGAGGACAAGGGAGAGTGAAGTGGGGAGGGGGGATGGGGAAGGTGCTCCAGCACGGAGCTAAAGATCAGACCTAGTGCAGCACACGCAGGCCAGGGCACCTACAGCCACTCTTGCCTTGGTTTCCTCTTTTGGAAATAAGGACAACACTGATCTGCCCTGGCCTACTGGAGCCTGAAGGATGAGCATGGATGATAACAGTCTTTGGGGAACAGAGGCTCAAGTGCTAACCACAGGACCTGGACCCAGGCAGCTGGGCCCTGCTGACCTTAGAGGTATGGCCACATTACTTAACCACTGAGTCCACATCCATCTGTTGCCTGAGACAGAGGCTGAGCTGATGCCAGCTAGGCCTGCTGCAGCCTGCTTTCTGCCCAAACCCACACCCAGCTCCCCTCCGTCACACTGACCCCCGGGACCAACACTCACCTCCTCCCACAGCACCCTCCTCCTGTAGCTCTCCCCGCCAGCCAGGCTGGTTGGCAGCAGGTCCCCGATGGGCCTCAGCAGGCAGCACAGCAGGCTCACCAACAGCCAGCTCCACTCCTGGCTGAGCCTCCAGCTCAGCCTTGGAGCCAGCCAGAGGAGCCCTTAAGATATCACCTCCTGCCCCATCCATGCTCAGCACACGCGCGTGAGTTTTGGCACTAGCAGTACTGGGCGTCCGCTGGGTCCCATAGGGCCGCTTAGGGGGCAGAGCAGTCCCCTCCTCGGCCCCATGAGGGGCCCGCCGCTTCCGAGGGCCCCCTGCTGCACCCCGGGAGCTCTCAGGTGAATAGCAAGAAGTGGATGAGGAGCTGTCAGTACTGTAGCGGTGCTGCGATCGCAGACTGGAGGCTGGGCTCAGCTCGCTGCCCTCACTGGTGTCTTCATCCTCAAAGAATCCTCCGCCTTCAAGCAAAGGCCTTCTTGGGGCACCGCCAGGTGGGGAGTGTCTTCGCACAGGTGGCCGCCGTTTGCTAGGCCGCAGCAGGGCCAAGTCCTTGGGCCGCACAACCAGGAGTGGCTCAGCCTGGCCTGGTGGTGTCCCTGCTCCAATGACTGTGTCAAAAGAACGCAGTGTGTCATCTGATGGGACCCCAGCATCTGGGGAGGCAGGCAGGTCAGCTTCAGAAGGGGGGTCTGTGTCACTGCCCTCAGGGGCATGCGCAGCAGGAGGGCTGTCCAGGTGTGTAGAGTCAGTCTTCTCACTCTTGAAGCTGCTCAGAGTCTCCCTGTCAGTGCCACTAAAGCAGGAATCTGAAGAGCCAGCTTTCTGGGGCATGGGCTCACCTGAGCCCCGCCGGTCAAGGGGCTGGTAGCCTCCAGCTCCCCGACATTGTTCCCGTCGACTGCTGGTCCTCACTAGGGCCCGGTCAGGCCGGGTCAGGGTCAGGAAGCTCTTGCTCAGCTCCTGACTAAGGCTCCCTTTCAGTAAGGGGCTCATGGGGGTGTCTGCCACACTGCTTCCACCCCAAAGAACTCCATCTCCAGCCAGGGGAGAACGCTCGGAAGAGTCCGTGCTGGGGAGAGAGGGGTCTGGGATAGCCCCTGGGGGTGTCTGGGGAAGGTCTCCAACTGTCAGAAGAAAGGAAGACAGGATGAGAGAAGGGTATACAGCAATGAAAGGAAATGAACAGGGCTTTACAACTGCTGCTTTCCCGGAGAGCACAACCAGGGCAGGAATACCGAGGCAGTCCCATCTGGGAGTACAAAGGGAGTCTCAGGACGTAGCCAGAGTTGGGATGATGCAAGGACACAACAGTTGGTCTTCCCACCAGACCCCAGTCCTGCTTCGCCCACTCACTCAGTTTCTCTTGAGAGCTGAGCTTCAGCATCTCTCGATCAGCAGAGGTCACAATCACATTGTTGCTGCCTTGCTCCCGTACCAGCTCCTTGATATCTACAATCATAGCATCAAAGTTGTCACCAGGACCTTGGGGTACTCTTATACTGCCCTGTTCCATGCCACCACATTCCAGCCCTGACATCAGCTACCTACCTCTGAGGGGCCCAGAATCCTCCATCCGGGGAAGCAATTCCTGGATAGACAGAGAGGGGTACAGGGGAACAAACAGGGCAAGCAGGGTTGGAACAGGCCCACAATGGACTAGCTCCCAGGGCAGCAGTAGGAGGAGCCCAAGACTGGAACCACTCACCGAAACCTGGTTGAAGCCAAACACAGAATGCTGAGAACTGCAGCGAACAGGGGGTGTGGAACTCACTTTCCGGAACACTGTCATCTCCATACCAGGGTCCCTGTAATGAAAAGTACAGTAGGGCAGAAGCTTTGGGCTAATCTCTCTTCACAGTTTCTAACCATCCTTAACGCTCCTCCCTCTTCAAGAGTCCTTTAATTTTGGGGCTGACTGCAGGACAAGTGCTTGGGGCCAATGTTCCCTCACTTCCCTCTATCTTCCAAGATATAGACACAAAGAACCATCAATCCCCAAAACAGCCACTGCCCAACCCACCTGGGAAGACTGCTGTCCCCCTGGGCAGCTTCTTCTTCCTGCTCCCCCATGGTAGAGTTGCGTTTCTCCACGATCTCGCCCTGGTCGAACATGGCATGCAGCCGGTAGTTCACAGTCTTGATGGTAGCGAAAATGACAGCTACCACTAGGCAGTATGCACCTGCCACCACCAAGCTGGGGGGCAGGACCTGGAGGTGACAGTAAGTCAGGTCCCCTCTCACAAAAGCTCTGCTCCCTCAGGGATTTACCTGGCCACTACCGTCGTGGCTAGAATTCACCCAAGGTGACCCCGCCCAGAAAAGGAGAGATTTGCTCTCCCTTCTATACGCATCCAAACTCTACAGCGAGCTTTCTCATTCCACACCCCAGGGCACAAGCCGTGGTTCCCATTCTGCCAGGCTGCCCTTCCTTTCCCAGTAGTTACAGGTGGCTGCAGCTTCTCACCATGTACAGCAAGAAGGGGAAGATGAGCAGAAAGATCCAGACATAGAGATGGAAGCAGTTGGAGAAGGTGCTCTGATGCGGGTCGAAGAACCAACCGCCGGTGAGCGAAGCCCACACGCCCTGGCGCAGGATCTGCAACACCTGAGACCCCATGGCCCCGCCGCTGCTGCGCGCGCCCTCCTCCCGGGACCCTCATGGGGGCGGCCCGCAGCCCATGCCCCGCCTGGTGCCCGAGGGCCCCGGGGCCCGGCCTAGCGCTCACGCCATGGCCTCCCCCAGCGGGGGAGGGGGATCGGTGGGGCAAGGGCGCGGGCAGGGGGCGGGGCCCGCCGGGGCAGTCAGCGGTGTAAGGCCCGGGTGCAGGGGTAGGACAGCATCAGGGGCGGGGCCTGGGTTCCCACCCGTGGCCCTGAACTGTTCGGAAGGGCCGAGCCAGCAGGCAAGCGCCGGGCACGGGCCGGGCACCCGTCGGCGGCATCCAGAGGTGGGCGTGGGGTGGGTACTCCCGGAGTGCTGGTGCAAGGTTCCTTGGCTTCGGACCGGGGAAAGCCTTGGGACTCTGAGGTCCACTTCAGGGGTCGCAGGTCACTCGCTCGGGGCTCTGCGTTCGCCCCGCTTCTCCCGGTGCCAGCCCAAAGGGGAGGCCGGAAGAAGGAGCCGCGAGCCGCCAGCCTGCAGTGGCGCATGCGCCCGGTAGAACCAGTTGGGACCCGGAAAAGGAAAAACCTGACAGCGTGAGTGCGCAAGCGCACAGCGGAGGCGAAGGTACGGGCTGGAGTGGACCTTTTGCGCACGCGCAGAGTCCAGCTCGGAAGCATCCCAGCGGTAGAGACGGTTAGGCGCATGCGCGCATCCTGGTGCCTCGCCATTGGGTAATGGAGCTGTCATTGGCGCAAAGCTCTTCCAATGAGACACAGGAGGCGGTTAAAAGATGGAGGCGGGGACTCATCAGAGCTACTTCTTCTAGTCTTGTGTTACCGGGTCACACCCCTCCCTAGGTCGCCCACACCTTAGTGCTAGACCTTACGTCACAGTCTGTGACTCCTCTACTTCCGGGTCAAAGCCCAGACCAGGCGTTTATAGAGCGAGTCTTCAGAACAGGCCTGAGTAGTCGAACCAGGATGGCATCGTCTTTCTTAAAGGGACAGACACAAGGCAATTGGGATCAAGCTATCCGGAGGTTGTGAAGGCTATTCGGCTATTTTGAATCCAGTTCTGGACCACAGTCTTGGGTTTCTTCCCGGTGGGGAAAGGACACGAAGAAGCGGATTGTCTCTCCGGAAGAGGAGAGCCTTAGACGGTTCCTTGGTGTTCGGTCGGTTCCGAAGTTCCAATCTTCCCTTACCTACCCTACCTACCCCTCTGGCTCTGCGAAGCAGGGCTTCTCGTCTCACTGCGTAAGTGAAAAGAACGAAGCTTAAAGAGAAGTTCTGCAACTTCGTAGCCACGACCAGACTCGCCAGCACGAGTCTATTACTCATTTTGCTGATGAGGATTCAGACCCAACCAGGATTGCCGTCTGTCTTTCTGTCTTTGATCCACTTGATCACTGGGCAGCAGAGCACCTAACCTGGGGCCTTTCTTTTTTTTCTTTCTTTCTTTCTCTAAGACCAAAAGCCTGATGTGATGGGGAGATCGGGGCTCCCTTGCCCGCTTTCTGCCTCTCTTGGCCAGCCTCCCCGGGAACTCCCCGGCCCAGTCCCGGGGAGCCTCCGGGAGGGGAGCGGTGCTACCAGTCCGCGTCATCTGATGCTGTTTCCTGCAGGAGGGAGAAGAGCGGAAAAAAGTGAAACTCCACCCTCCACCTCTGCCTCCCGCCCCCGGGGCCAAAGTACAAAGGGAGGAGGAAGAAGGGAACGGGGTCGGAGCCCGTCGGGGCCAAAGGCACTAGGGCAGTGCAGAGGTGGCTTCGGCCCAGCTGGAAACTCTTTCTTCATCTCCTGCGCCTCTCCACCACCGGAGTCCAGGCGCTGCCCCTGGCCGACCCCACCTTACGCTTGGCGAGTGCTGGAGCCAGGTTCCCAGGACTACTTCGGACCTAAGGGACGCTCTGCCCCTCCAAGCCAGCCATGGTGAGGCGCCGGAGGCCCGAGGGCCCCACCCCTCCAGCCTGACCACACTGCCCTGGGTGTCCTCCTCCAGAAGCCGGAGATGCGGGGGGCCGGGAGGCGACACTCCTGGCTCCCCAGAGAGGCGTGGGTCTGGGGCTAAGGGCCAAGGCCCGGATGCCCAGGTTCCGGCACTAGGGACACAGCAGCCACCGGGGGTGGGGACCACGGGCACCCGAAGAAGGTCCCCCACACATTCCAACGCCGGCTCCCGACCATGGAGCCCTTGAAGAACCTCTTCCTAAAGAGCCCGCTAGGATCATGGAACGGCAGTGGCAGTGGGGGCGGCGGGAGTGGGGGCGTAGTCCGACCGGAGGGGTCCCCGAAGGCAGCAGCCTATGCCAACCCGGTGTGGACAGCCCTGTTCGACTATGAGCCCAATGGACAGGACGAGCTGGCCCTGAGGAAGGGCGACCGAGTGGAGGTGCTGTCCCGGGATGCAGCCATCTCAGGAGATGAGGGCTGGTGGGCGGGCCAGGTGGGTGGCCAGGTTGGCATCTTTCCATCCAACTATGTGTCTCGGGGTGGCGGCCCACCCCCCTGCGAGGTGGCCAGCTTCCAGGAGCTGCGGCTGGAGGAGGTGATCGGCATCGGTGGCTTCGGCAAGGTCTACCGTGGCAGCTGGCGAGGGGAGCTGGTGGCTGTGAAGGCAGCTCGCCAGGACCCCGATGAGGACATCAGTGTGACAGCTGAGAGTGTTCGGCAAGAGGCCCGGCTTTTCGCCATGCTGGCACATCCCAACATCATTGCCCTCAAAGCTGTGTGCCTGGAAGAGCCAAACCTATGCCTGGTCATGGAGTATGCAGCCGGTGGGCCCCTCAGCCGGGCTTTGGCTGGCCGGCGTGTGCCCCCCCATGTGCTGGTCAACTGGGCTGTGCAGATTGCTCGTGGGATGCACTACCTTCACTGTGAGGCTCTGGTACCTGTGATCCACCGAGACCTGAAGTCCAACAACAGTGAGTTTCCAGGAGTATAAATAAAGGGGTTGGGGAGGCCAGGGGCACTGCCCAGCCCTGGCCCAAGCGCACACACCTCCTAAACCTGAACTGGTCCTAGTCAGAGAGCTGTTGGAGTCAGCTACCTGAGGGAAGTCTCAGATAACCAGGGGTGCCCATGACCTCTCACTGACCCCAGAACAGGAATCCCAGACACCTGGCACAGTCCTGCCTGCTGCCTCTGCCCTAGAAGTCCATGATCCTGGCCTACAGCTGTAGTTTGGGCAAGTTAAAAAAAAAAAAAAATTTGGAAATCCCCCCCCCCCCCCAAGTATGATGGTTCACGCTTCTAATCCCTGCACTTGGAAGGCAGAGGCAGGTGGATCTCTGTGAGTTTGAGACCAGTCTGGTTACATAGAGATTTTCAAGCCAGCCAGGGCTACATAGTGAGACCACCCAAAAAAAATTTTTTTTTAAGATTTCTCAGGTGGATGTCAGCATCCTGCTTGACTACCTCAAGGAAGTCCCCTGGAGGTTGATATTCTCCAGCCTTCCCCCTCCCTGAAGTTTATATTCATAGTGTGTTGCTGCTCTGCTCTTCCCTCCTCTCTCCTCCCCACCTCTCCCCTCTTTTGAGCAGCTCCTCCAGAACAGAGATCTCAGAAGAGAAAGGCCCTCCTCCTCCCTTGGAGGTCAAGGCTGGTTCATCCCACCCCTCCCTGACCATCAGCTGATTATTTCAACTCAGAGCCTCAATTTCAGCCTCCCTAAAAGGAGGAGTGATCAGGAGGCGAAAGCAGCTTAACTGTGAGCCCTGGCACATAATGCCCAACGGGCAGTGTGGGTCCTCAGCTTTAGATGTAGACATTGCAGGGCAGGATTACCACAAGGGTTCAGTCTGGAATCAGCAGGGTTGGGGGTGCCTAGCTAAGGGAGACTCCGTCTCCCACCATCTCCAACTCCCCTTGATGTCCTATCATGGGCCCAAGACAAGTTAGTGACAGGTTCAGATGACTTCTGAAGTGGACAGGTTTCAAGCCAGTCCAAAGCAGCTTCATTTAGCAGATACTTGGTTGGATGCCTGGGCAGGACCTGACCACAGCCAAGGCCCAGAACGCAGCACAGTGGGGATACCAGGGTCTGGGCCCTATTGGAGCCCAGAGCACAAGCTGGAGAGCAGTACAATTCTAGTTGAAGTGGGAGGGGTGCCCCGTGAACTCACTGGAGAGAAGCCTGGAGGGTCCTAGAAGGGATCAGCATGGACTTCTTAGCCTCTTGGCCTTGAGAAAAGCAGAGCATCAAGGCCCAGTGATACCCAAGTCCTTGCCAGAGTTGAGGGGCTTCCCCCATTTCATGCCTGGGCCCTAGCCATCTAGGGACCCCCCACTCCCTACGCTGTCTTGAGGGGGATTCCCTGAAGGCCCAGGGGGTGGGGGCTTCTGTCTTTCCTCCCTGCTCTTTCCAGAAGAAAAAAAAATGGAACAATAGCCCAGGCCCCTGCTCCCCACCCTCCACACCACACCGCTTCCTGTGTTTCCTGCTGCCCCTGGGCTGGCTTCCTGCCCCTGCTCCAGCCCCTGCTCCCTCCCTAGTCCAGCTGCCTGCAGGGGAGGAAAGAGCTGGGGGTGGAGGGGTTGCGGGAGAGGAAGGAGCCAGGGATTGCTCCCTCATGCTGCCCCTCCCAGCCCCAGCTCCCCTGCTTCCCTCTCAGAGTCTTGGGTGGTAGAGATAAAGGGCAAGCAAAGTGCCTTCAACTTCTAAGCCTAGCATCCAACTTCACAGACCCAGTCCTAGGCCCTGAGTTGCTGTCTGCAGGATTGGGGTGGGGGGAGTCCCTGGACTTGGGGGGGTGCAGGCAGGAAACAATGGCGTGATTTTCCTGGACAATGGGGGCCTTGTAAGGAAGCCTGGCTTAGAGAGAAGGGGGAATTCTCCAGGCCCACGAGTCACAGGACTGACCAGCCAGCCCAGCCTGGGCCTGACCTCCCCCAATTGGCCCCCAAAGGACCCCCCCCCCAATTGGGCCAGGCTTCCCAGAAAGGAGAAGTAGGGACCATGGGAGGGAAGCGGAAGAGGTGTGAGCTGCCCAGGCCACTCCCTAGCCGCACAGAGGCCAGCTTGGGGGATGTTTAGGAGATGGCTATGAAGCTTGCCCCAGTCTTGGGTCCTCTAAACCGCTCTGGGTGGCCCCTGACCTCCCAGAGCCAAGGTCTTAATTAGGCATCAGAACAGTAACTAACTTGGGTTGGGGCAGATTCAGGGCCCAGGCTGGAAGCAAGACAGGTTGGAGGAAAAGGGGCTGTGGAGTTGAGGTGAAGGCTTGACAGGTGCCAGACTAAAGAGTCGGAAGATAAAGGAAAGGCTACAGAAAAGTCCTAAGGCTGGATGACTTTCTGGCCCCTTTCTGGGATTAGGATTCACCAACTGAAAAAGGGGAGATTGGTCACCCCTCCTGAGATACTAGTGCGGAAAGTGCTGTGACCAGCCTGTGGGGGCCGAGCCTGTGGGTGAGAGACTAGGCTAGAGACAGCAAATGCTGGTCTTCTGAGGAAGGGTGGGTCCTAGCTCCACAGAGGGAGTCCATGCCCTCTCCCGCCTGCCCCAGCCTGTTGTAGTTCTTCCTTAGATGCGCTTGCACAGGCCTAACAACTGGTCCCATGCCTTCAGCAGCCAGACCAGAGGGTGCTGTGAGTCTGGGAGTTAGGAGTGATTCAGGGTAGAAAGGAAAGTGGATGTTTACAGAATCTCTACAGCAAATGCCCTGTGTTTTCTGCTGGGTGTCAGGCCCAGGTAAAGGCTTTCAAAAGTTTGAACTGGGGCCAGAGAGGTGGCCCAGTGGTTAAGAGCACTAGCTGCTCTTGCAGAGGACCCGGGTTCAGTTCCCAGCACTCAAATGGTGGTTATCAATTCATCCATAACTCCAGTTCCAGGGGATCCAACATCCTCTCTTGACCTCCACGGGCACTGCACAACACAGGTACTCATACACATAAAATAAACATGTTAAAAAGTTTGAACTGGTCCAGGTGTGGTGTCACACAGCTTTAGTCCCAGCACTCAGGAGGCAGAGGCAGGTGGATCTCTGTTGAGTTTGGTGCCAGCCTGGTCTACATAGGGGAACTCCAGGCCACTCTAATGAGACCCTGTCTCAAAACCCTCACCCCAAAACAGTGTGAACTGGTTTAATACCCGTTGACAACCCTGTGAGGTGTGTTCTCTTTTCATCCTCAGCTTTCCCTGCAGGACCCACCCCCATCCAGATTAGAGGAGCAGGTAGATTTCAACACCATTCCTTGAAGTGGGAGAAATTGCAGGAAAGCTTGCCAGGCATAGAGGCATAATAAAGGCCCCACAATGGCATATGGGCACTAGGTACTGCTATCTGGCCTAGAGCTCCAAGTTTAAAAGATGTCAGCCAGGAAGGGGTAGCTGGCACCTGGAAGAGCTGGAGGCAGCCCAGAGGTGGCAGGGAGAGGCTGGGAGCTGAAGAGCACCAGAATTGAAGCCACTGAGAGTGGGAGAGGCCCTCAAGGAAACCAAGCTAAGCCACAGAGGCCCTGGGAACTGAGGACACAGGAGGGGTTGGGCAGTACCCACAGATGTCCCATGAGCCTGCAGGACTTAGCCTGCAGCAGAATTGGGAGTTCAGGCCTTCAAAGATGACACCTGGTCTGCCACCTCCTCTAAGAAGCCCTCCCTGACTCACCTGGCCATGTAGGTGTCCTTCTTCTTTGCCTCATTCCCAGTGCCTATGAGTTCCCATTGCAGCCCTGACATTGTGTGCAGGAGAGCTGGGGGGTGGGTGTGCCTGACACATGTGCAGAGCGAACGGTCACTGCTCCACTTTGAATGGACCCATTAGACCCCTGATGAGTCTGTGACTTTGTTCTCCCATTCCTCTAAAATCTCTCCCTCAAGCTGTTTCTATCCTGGCAAGAGATTTACAAGTTGCTGCTTTTCCTCTGTTTGGAATACATTGGCCCCACTTGGATGAAAGCCAAGTGCCCCTGCCAAGTCCGACCATCCACTCCTACAATTTTTGCAAGCTCGTCCTCCCTTGTGGCCAGAAAACACCCCTCCGTCTCTGCTCACACCCAGCTCCTTCATCTTTTTAGTCTTTCTGCTGAGAGTGACAGTGACAGTGCTATAGGTTCCAGAACTTGCCATGCCTGCTGGCCTTCCTTGCTTGTTAAGGGCTTCCCTTCCATTCCCCAGCCTACGGGAGGTTCTGATTCATACTCTTGCCTCAGCAAAATGGCAAGACACAGATTTCTCTTGAAAACAGTCACTAACACTGAGAACCTACCATACTGTGGTTTTTATCCTACGTAGTGTTAGGAAAAAGAACATTAGGTTTGGAGTCAGAGGTTGAATGCTTTGTTTGCTCTATGACCTTGGTCAAGCCATTTCCCTGCTGTTTCCTCATCTGTAAAAATAATACCTATCTTTTTCTTTTTGTCTTTTTGATACAGGGTCTCCCTGTAGCCCCAGCTGGCCTGGAGTTTACTTTGTAGACCAGAGATCTACCTGCCTCTGCCTGCTGAGTGCTGGAATTAAAGGCATGCACCACCACACCCAGCTTTTTTTTTTAGTTCTAGAACTAAGTGTAGAAATTTGGCCTCTAGAAGACCAAAGACTGGGTAAACATGAGTTACAGCTGTTACTTTGACCTAGTACAACCCGCCTCCAGCTGTGAGCTTTTCAAGACAAGATCCACACACACCAGTCACCTCTCTGCACCCCAGTACCTGGTCAGGATGTGTCAGATGCCCTTGCTCCAGCTCCTCCCCCTAGCCCTATACCTTAACCCTGGAACACCTATAGTCCTGTCCACTTCTTCCCCAGTTCTGCTGCTGCAGCCCATTGAAGGTGAGGACATGGAGCATAAGACCCTGAAGATCACTGACTTTGGCCTGGCTCGAGAGTGGCACAAAACCACACAAATGAGCGCTGCGGGCACCTATGCCTGGATGGCTCCAGAGGTTATCAAGGCCTCCACCTTCTCGAAGGGCAGCGATGTCTGGAGGTGCGACCTGGGCTGGGGCTGGACAGTCTGTTACAGGGCTGCAGCAGGTAGAGGTGGTTGCCTAAGAGGGGTGAGCACACAGGCAGAAACCAGAAGGGACCCAAACCACTTAGCTCCTGTGGCTTTGGAGTGAAGATACCACACAGATCTTTTGTCTCCTCCACAGCTTTGGGGTGCTGCTGTGGGAACTGCTGACTGGGGAGGTGCCCTACCGTGGTATCGACTGTCTGGCTGTAGCCTATGGTGTGGCTGTCAACAAATTAACATTGCCTATCCCATCCACCTGCCCCGAGCCCTTTGCACAACTCATGGCGGGTAAGAGGACGGGGCTGGGCAGAGGAGGGGCAGAACTCCCTAGCCCTGGACACATAACGCCCCCATACCCCCTTCTAATTCTGTCCCCGTAGACTGCTGGGCACAAGACCCCCACCGCAGGCCCGACTTCGCCTCCATCCTACAGCAGCTGGAGGCACTAGAGGCGCAGGTCCTGCGCGAGATGCCTCGGGACTCCTTCCATTCCATGCAGGAGGGCTGGAAACGCGAGATCCAGGGCCTCTTCGACGAACTGCGGGCCAAGGAGAAGGTGGGAAGAATAGAGGGGCCCCGGATCGGGCGGAGGAGGAGGTGGGTGCCCTGGATCGGTGCGCGGCTAACCACCGGTTCCTCCATTACCGGGCCCAGGAACTGCTGAGCCGCGAGGAGGAGCTGACGCGAGCGGCTCGCGAGCAGCGGTCCCAGGCGGAGCAGCTGCGGCGGCGGGAGCACCTGCTGGCCCAGTGGGAACTAGAGGTCTTCGAGCGCGAACTGACGCTGCTGCTGCAGCAGGTGGACCGCGAACGGCCGCACGTGCGCCGGCGCCGCGGGACCTTCAAACGCAGCAAGCTCCGGGCGCGCGACGGCGGCGAGCGCATCAGCATGCCGTTGGGTGAGGGGCGGGGCCCCGGGACACCGCCCTGCCATTGGCGGGGGAACGGAGTCGGGGGGAGACGGGCTAGGCGGGGATTGGCGCAGGGGGAACTGGGCGGGAAGGGATGGAACAAGAAGAGGTCTGGGGGCGTGGTTCCCGGTGGAAATATTTGTATGTCGGTCTGTGAGTGGCTGAGCCACGGAGGGGATTGCGATTGCGCGCGTGGTGCGCGCCTAAATTCTGGGAAGGGCTAGCGGGCGCGGCCTGCCAGAATCTGCAAGCTTTGGCTTACTGAAAGCCTGGGCAGGAAAGCTGCTCAATCTCTGTCTACATTGACTGTGAGGCCTGGGAGCCTCCCGTGAGCCTCTGCGGAGTGCTGCCTCTTCACGGACTGCACCTGCTTTCTCCTTCCCTGAATCTCAGATTTCAAGCATCGCATCACTGTGCAGGCTTCACCTGGTCTTGACCGAAGGAGAAACGTCTTCGAGGTTGGAGCTGGGGACTCACCCACCTTCCCTCGGTTCCGAGCTATCCAGTGTAAGGAACTTGACCTGCCTTGCCTTCCCCACAGCCCCTAATCCTTCCCTGGAGGTGGACCCCTACCAACTGTACCTCATTTCTCCATCTGTATCTAGACTTTTACTATTGGGTTTCCCAAGAACATTTTATCTTTTTTTTTTTTTCCGAGTCAAATAGTTATATGATACCATGGTGTTGTGTTTTGTAGCCCTGGCTGGCCCAGAACTCACTGTGTAGAACTGGCTGGCCTGGAACTCAAGGAGATCCACCTGTCTCTACCTCCCAAGTGCTGGGATTAAAGGCGTGCACCGCCACACCTAGCTTTTGTATTCTTTATTTTTCCTGTATGCTTTGCAAGTATTAACTTAATGATTCTAGTAGGAAGATATTATTACTAAGTATAATGAGAAAAGAAACCAGTAAGAGACAGCAAAAATTCAAATTCAAGTAGTGGGAGGCACTATGCTGATATAAGTATCAGCCAAAGACCGAAGGAGATATTCCACCTTAACTGCTGGCCCCAGGGCCCAGACCCACTTACCCCACCAAAGTCAACCCTGCCCCCCGTCCTGGCTGTCACATTTGGGGAGGACAAGGATGAGCTCAAACCCCATGGTGTCCCTTTACAGTGGAACCTGCAGAGTCAGGCCAGACATGGGGCCGCCAATCTCCTCGACGTTTGGAAGATTCAAGCAACGGAGAGAAGCGTGCATGCTGGGCCTGGGGTCCCAGTTCCCCCAAGCCTGGGGAGGCCCAGAATGGAAGGTAACTGCCTGAGTGTCCCCAGACCCCAGCACTGCACTTTTCCTCAGAGTCCTGAGACCCACAAATCACACCTGCCTTGCCTTTTCCTCTCTAGGAGAAGGTCCCGCATGGACGAAGCCACGTGGTACCTGGATTCAGATGACTCTTCCCCCTTAGGATCTCCTTCCACACCCCCAACACTCAACGGTGAGTAGTCTTTTCCTGGCTGTGGAGATCTTTGCAAGCTCTTTCTGTGGGCACTGGGGTAGACCTTGAGTAGCCAGCAGGTGGAGATGGAATCCTGCCCTGATAGCTCTTACTGAAGACTAGGAAACTGAAGCAGAGACTGAGCAGAGCCAGTCCTAGAACCCAGATCTGGCCTCCAGGCTCACAGCAGTGGACACAGCCCAGGCCTCGGGTTCCAGAGACTTGTGCCCCTGTTTAGCTTCTTCCCGACCAATGGCTGGTACTGTACCGTACCCTCAACTGGCTCTGCAGAGGGAAAGAAGCAGGCAGTGGTATCTCCCATTTGGTGCCCGGATAAGTGAAGCCAGACAAACGACTTCCACAGCTTGTTCTTCGCCGTCCCTTGTGGGGAGCCCATGGGTGGGAATGAGGATAAGAAGGTGGAACAGGCAAGGATCTAAGGACTGGTGGTCATTGCATCTGGGGCTAGTTCTGTTCTTTGTGATGATGACAGCACTTGTTGTGTGGAAGACATCCTAACCCTGTGAGGGAGGAAACAGTATTGTCCTCATTTTAGATATAAGGAAACTGAGGCCCCAAGAAGGGCTCCATTTTACAAAGGAGGAAACTGAGGCACAGAGAAATAAAGTGGTTTGCTGTAAGGCACCTGGCAGAACAGGGATTTGAACTCTTGACTCCAGAGGTAGGCCCTTGAACCTCCCTCTGCCATTACTTGACTTGTTTTGTGTTGCTTCAGCTGTTAACAACCCTAGATTGGCTGTGCTGTAGGGGCTGAACTGAAAACTGGAAGGTCAGGAGATTGAATTTGATTATTCTAGAATATAACAGACCAGAAGGAGGAAGGGATAATTTGAGGACCTGTGAACTCTGGTGTAGGTCAGAGCACCCCTCTGACCACGAGTTCCCAGAGGATAATGGGACACAAGGCCTAGTCCCTTTGCCTCTCAAGCTGGCCAGTCTTCCCGAGGGACACCACCAGCCCAGTCTCGTTGCTGACTGAGTGCATGGTTCCCTAGGCCAAGCCTGCACTACTGCTGCCATCTGGGTCTATAAGAAAAGTATATGATGACCTTGACCTCCCAAACATCCAGAGTCAGAAGCCTGAGAATCAAGGACTGGGGGCCTCATAGAGATCCCATACTCAGAGAGCATCCATGCACAGGTCTCACACTGGGGATCTCCATACTGCTCACCCTGCCCTCCAGCTCCATGTTATGGCCCTTGGGGACCTTTGGCAACCTGTAGTCAGCGGATACTCAAAAAAATTGCCTGGGGCTTATTGCCGGGAGCCATTAACCACCCCAAGTAGAAGTAATTTCACCTTCATCCCCAGAACAAGGATGTCACACTGCTTTCCCCTAAACAGCAGGATTGCTAACTCTGATTTCCAGGAAGTTCAGAGACAAATTAAAATCCTAAGTGAATTACCGTGGACAAGTCACTTAACTCTGGACTGACAATAGGAACCTCGGTTTACTCTCGAGTGCTGACCTCCACTTTTTGTTTCCCTTTTGTCTTTTTTTGTTGCTTATTTTAATATTTTTAGATTCTTTTTAAAATTTTGTTATTACATGCTTCAGTGCAAGAGTGGAGGTCAGAGGACAACTTGCTGTGGTCAGTTTTCTCCTCCCACCGTGTGGATCCTGAGGTTTGAACTCAGGTCATTAGGCTTAAGTCATCCGCCAGCCCCTCTTGCTTATTTTTATCTATTTTATGGCTTTTGTGTTTTGTTTGTGGTGCTGGGGACGGCACCCACAGCATTGTGCACACTAGGCAAGTGCTCTCCCGCTGAACTATATCCCCAGCCCTCTCTACTGTTTCAAACGTGCCTCTCTCCTATCTAAACTTAATATAAATGATTAATGTCTTCATCTGTGAAATGGAAATAATGCTGAGTGTATAATTACACTATTTAATATGGTTGGTGAAAGTAATAGAAAAATGGCCAGGCACAGGTGGCAGAGGCAGGCAGATCTCTGTGAAATCAAGGCCAGCCTGGTCTACATAGTGAGTTCCAGGACAGCTGGGGCTACAGGGGGACCCTGTCTCAAAAAGTCTGGACTCCAGGGCCCTCTTCTTACCTCTGTGAGCACTGTACGACATTGGTACACTATAGACAATAATACACTCATACACATAAAATAAAAATAATAAATAAAATATTAAAATATATATCATTAATAATAGAACAGCAACAACAACAAAGTGATAACTAGGCAGGTTCAGGTGGGTTCTGCTAGTGCTCTGCAAAGAAAGTGACGCATCAGCTGGGTCCTAGATGTTGGATAAGTTACTGAAAGTTGAGGTGGGAAACATGTGCCAACTGAAAGAAATCATATGCACAGATTCTTCAGAAGAAACCTTGAGAACCTGGAGTCTCAGGCTTGAGGCAGTGGGTTTGTGGATGTTACATGAATGATTAAGCTATAAGAAGAGTCCAGGGTCTGGAATGAAGAGATGGCTCAGCAGTTAAAAGCACTGGCTGCTCTTGCAGAAGACCAGGTTTGAATCCCAGCACCCACATGGCAGCTAACAACTGCCAGTAACTCCAGTTCTAGGGGATTCGAGGCCTAATTATGTCCTCCATGGGTACTGCACTACAGGGGTGCACTTATCCACATGCAGACATAACACTCATACACATAAAAGTAAATACTTTTTTTTTAAAAAAAGAGGAAGAGTCCATTCAGGAAGGGATCCAGCCAAAATGTGATGATTCTATTGGGGTTTTTGGTTTTGTTTTTTTGTTTTTTGTTTTTTTGGTCTTTTTGAGACAGGGTCTCCCTGTAGCCCCAGCTGTCCTGGAACTCACTATGTAGACCAGACTCTCACAGAGATCTGCCTGCCTCTGCCTCCCAAGTGCTGGGATTAAAGGCGTGCACAGCCACGCCCGGCTTGTTTTGTTTTTTTGAGATGGGGTATCCCAGTAGACCCAGCTGGCCTGGAATTCACTATGTAGACCAGGCTGGCCTCCATCTCACAGAGATCTGCATGCATCTGCCTCCTGAGTGCTGGGACTAAAGGCAGATGTGTCATGCCTGTTTTTTTTTTTTCTTGTTTTTGAGACAGGGTCACACTATAGCCCCAGCTGGCCTGGAACTTGCTGTATATACCAGGCTAACCTTGAACTCACAGAGATCACTGGCCTCTGCCTCCCAAGTGCTGGGTTTAAAAGCATGTGCAGGGTCTCACTGTGTAGTCTTGTTAGCATTGTGCTCCAGGCAACCCTCTTGTCTCAGCCTGCCAAGTGCTAGGTTTACAGGTGTGCACTGCCTCGCTCGGCTTTGCCCAGTCCTTTTTAAAATATTAACACTAGGGTCAAGTGTGGTGGCGCACGTCTTTAATCCTAGCACTTGGGAGGCAGAGGCAGGAGGATCTCTGTGAGTTCAAGGCCAGCGTGGTCTACATAGTAAATTCCAGGCCAGCTGGGGCTACAGGGAGACCCTGTGTCAAAAAGACCAAAAAAAAAATAAAGTTCCCATTTAACTGGATATACTGACACATTCCTATAATCCCAGCACTTGGGAGGTGGAGGTGGGAGGATCAGGAGTAGTTCAAGGTTGTCCTTGACTACCTAGTGAGTTTGAGACCACTCTGGTTTACAGGAGACCTGTATCTCAAAAAATGTGAAGAAACAGAGCTGAAGAGATGGCTTAGCAGTTAAGGGCATGTACTATCCTTGCAGAGGACCCAGGTTCAATTCCTAGCACCTTTCTTGGGTGGGTCACAAATGCCATGCATGCTGGTGGACCCTGTCTCAAAAAGACAAAACAAACCAAAAGGAAAGGAAAAACAACAGGGTTGGGGGTGGAGCGCCACGGTAGAGCGTTGGCCCAGCATATATAAGGCCTTCTCTTCAATCCCCAGTACCCCCCCACCGAAAAAAGGACCCCTGGGCCCTTGAGTGGCCATGAGTGGATGGTGGGGACATCAGAGGCAGAAAGGCTAAGGAAGGACTGAGGCTCAGGCAGACCCCAAGCTAAGTCCTGTTCACAGCAGAGGCTCACACATTTCTTCCTCCAGAAAGCCAACCCACACAGGCCAGCTCCATGCCTGGTCCAAGGAGGGGAAGACCAGCGGGACAAGATCAGGGAGGGTTTGATGATAAGGGAAAACGAAGGCTTTTCACTGGCATCTGGCTATAATGTCAGATGGGGGTCCAGTGACCCTCCCCACCCTTCTATGAAGGAGACTCAACAAGCCTGTCTCGAGAGGTCCCTTGCAAGTTGGTACAACTCTTCTGATGAAAATAGTGGCCGTTAGGCTCAGATTACCATCCACAACAGCTGCGTAGTTCTGCCCTTCCCCAGACCCCTTCCCTCTGAATTTGTGTCACTGAGAGGTCTACCTGGAAGTCCCACCAACCTCTGTCCAACCTCTGTCTAACCTGTGTCACTGCTGCCCACAGGTAACCCTCCACGGCCTAGCCCAGAGCCTGAGGAGCCTCGGCGTTCTGGGCTGACTGAGCGGGGTAGCAGTTCTGGGACACCCAAGCTAATCCAGCGAGCTTTGCTGCGTGGCACTGCTCTGCTGGCTTCCCTGGGCCTTGGCCGGGACCTGCAACCTTCAGGAGGCCTGGGTAGGGAGCGAGGGGAGCCCCCGCCAGCACCACCCTCTGCAGCAGTGCCTGCACCCTGCCCAGCTGAGCCACCCTCCACCCCGCTCATCCGCCTCTCACCCACAACACCTGACACCCGCAGCCCGCCCACCCCTGGGCCCTTATTGTTGGACCTGGGTGCTCCCTCTGGTCAACCATCAGCCAAGAGCCCTCGACGGGAAGAGACACTTGGTGAGTGGCCCTAGGGCCTATGGAGAAATAGAGGCTATCCAAGGGAAGAGGAACAGCTAGGGAGGGGCTCACAGGACCACAGACAGCTGCTGGGTACCCCAAGCAGGTCCTTGGGTCTGGGGCCACCAGTAGAGAGTCAAGTTCCAAGTTCCCCCTGTGAAATGATAGAAATGATAATAGTGACAGAGTCCTTTTGATTGGTTAGTTGGGCCAAGTATTATAACAGTCATAGATAGGTTAGTTCATTAAATTATCATAATCTGTGTACTAAACAGTCTTATGACTCCCAGTTTTTTAGTTTTGGTTTTGGGTTTTTTTGGTCTTTTTGAGACAGGGTCCTTTTTTTTGGGGGGGGGCGTCTTTTTGAGATGATCTCCCTGTAGCCTCAGCTAGCCTGGAACTTGCTATGTAGACCAGGCTGGCCTTGAACTCACAGAGATCTGCTTGCCTCTGCTTCTAGAATGCTAGGATTAAAGGCATGGTGGCACCCAGCTAGAGAAAATTAAATTTTGTTTAAAATAAATTACATTTATTTTGAGAGGGAGGCACATGTACTATGATGCAAATGTGGAAGTCAGAGGACAACTTACAGGAGTTGGTTCTCTCCTTCCACAGATCGATAGTCATGGTGGCCCTTAATTGCTGAGCCATCTTATCCACCTTAGATGAAGAAATGTGGAAATTTAAGGTACACAGAGGCAAAGGCTCTAAGTGGTCAAGCCCAGGCAGGTCTAGAACAGCCTGGCTCTTAACCAATCTGTGATAAACAGATGCTTCCTGGAACATAAAGTCTTGGAATCTATGAGTCAATCAAGTAACTCACCACATAGATGGGCAGTTCCTTCTGGGGACACCAAAGAATTGGCTGCCTAACGGTGTATCCCTTCTACACCCTCATAGGAAGAACTGTCTCGCCCCCACCAGGAATATCACGCTCTGCTCCTGGCACCCCCGGAACTCCTCGCTCACCACCTTTGGGCCTCATCAGCCGGCCTCGGCCCTCACCACTCCGCAGCCGCATTGACCCGTGGAGCTTCGTGTCAGCCGGGCCACGGCCTTCACCCCTACCCTCGCCACAGCCTGCACCCCGACGGGCACCCTGGACCTTATTCCCAGACACGGATCCCTTTTGGGACTCCCCACCTGCCAACCCCTTCCGGGGAGGCTCCCAGGACTGCAGGACGCAGACCAAAGACATGGGTGCTCAGGCCCCATGGGCACCAGAGGCAGGGCCTTGAGTGGACCGGGCCACACTTGCCCCACGCTCCAGCAGCCTTAGAGGAGCCACAGCATACACTGGAACAGGAGCCAGGCAGGCCTCTGTTGCTGCCTCAGTTTCCCCCAGGGACCCCGCCCCCCCCTTTGCGGGGGTCAGGAACACTACACTGCACAGGAAGCCTTCACACTGGATGGGGGGACTACACCCCCCCCACACTTGCAACCTATATGTCCCCTGACTTAACCTGCCCCACTGGGGCCTGACACTGTACCCAGCTGGTTGGGAGGACCAGAGCCTGTCTCAGGGAATTGCCCCCAGAAGTGGCGCAGGGAAGAGGGGAGGTGCAGGGGAGAGGGGCCGGCCTCAGCTGTCACCAGCACTTTTGACCAAGTCCTGCTACTGTGGCCCCTGACCCAAGGCTTAGTTCCTGGACCCCCTATCCTGGGGGTCATTGGGAGCTGGGGCTCTTCTGGGTGCCTTTCTGCTGCCCCAGCCAAGGTTGAGGCCTTGGCCTAGGGATCTAATGAAGCCAAATAAACTCGTAAGCTGTCTCCCCAAATGCAATCTGTCACCTTTCTTGGAGGTAATCCAGTGTCCTTTTACACCGAAAGCATGGGTAGATGGTCTGGGTCAAAGCCAGAATGCCTTGCACCACACCCCTCTGCTGGGACCAAGCCTACTACTGTAGGTCAGTTATTAAGGGTCCATCTCAGCGGAGCCCTTGCCAGGCCTCATTAACTCCACATTTCCATACAAGCCAGTTCCATCATTCAAGTGACTGTTGGCCCTCGTCCTTATTGCGTGGTGGTCCCCGCCTGTCCTCTGGGCCCAACTGCAATGTCATCCATAGGAAACCTTCCCTGGTCATGCTGTCCCCACCCCAGATAGAGCTCAACCTAGAAGCCCATAGCCTTTTGGGTGGCATCTTGGGATTTTGCCTTGGGTTTGTCTCCAGCCCATGATCTGAATATATGCAGAATAAATCTACCCACTTGGTGGCATGGCCTGGCATTCCCAACATTGCCCTGGGGTTCTGTGCTCTCCTAGTCCCACCCAGTGCTCTTAGCCAGGGTCCTTCATTTTTGATGCACCTACTTCAGTGCTCATGGGAGCCATGCCTGATGCTCCCGTCCCCCGAGTCTTCTTACCTCTCCCCACTCCCATATCCCCCCATTCATCTCATCTTCTGCCCAGGCCACCATTGTCCTAGTCAGGATGCCCCAGAATTTCCCTAGTGGTCTCCTTGGTGCCATCTTTAAAAGCCTGTATCCTCTGTCTCCTCCCTGTAATGGTCCTCCTATACCCCAGGCTCTTGCCCCCCATGACTGACTCCTCACTTCTGCCACAGAGCTTTCCTGGGAAGCTGGCCCTCCCACAGACTACTCCCATTACTTGGGTGTTTTTTCCATGGAATGTAAGACAGTACAAGTTTCTTGTCACAGCACCAGGAGAGAAGGGACCTGTGTCTGTCATCTTCCTCAGTGCCTGTCATCTTTCTTAGTGTCTGAGTGAGTGAAATGGAATATGGAAGATTCAGTGAACATGGGGCTGGAAAGATGGCTCAGTGGTTCAGAGCACTGGCTGCTCTTGAAGAGGCCCTGGGTTAGAGTCCCAGCACCCACATGGCGGCTAACAACCATCCATAACTCCAGTTCCAGGGGATCTGATGCCCTCTTCTGACGTCCATAGACATTTACAACATTTACATACATGTAGGCAAAACACTCACATACATTAAAAAAAAAAATACATATTGAGTGAACAGGACTAAGTGTGAGGCCCTCTCCAGACTGTCTTCCTCGCCTGGCCCTCACCCTCACCACAGCGCCTTCCTCCACCTACCCCCACATCCCCGGCTGCTATGTCTTGCCCCAGAAACTGGGAGTAGTGTTCCAGCTCACCTCCCTCCATTCACACTCACCCCATTTCTCTCAGCCACCTACCCACGCAGTACCTCCTCCCAGCCACGCCCTGCACCTCTCCCCAGGTGCCTGTGGTGGAACAGCCGGCTCCCACAGCGTCCCAGACTCAGTGCCACACTATGAGGGCTCTGAGGCCCTGGGCCCGATACCTGCTCCTCATTATGGCCCATCTGCTGGCCATGGGCCTTGGGGCTGTGGTGCTCCAGGCCCTAGAGGGCCCTCCAGCACTCCAGCTCCAGGCCCAGCTCCAGGCGGAGCTGGCTACCTTCCAGGCAGAGCACAAGGCCTGCTTGCCACCTGAAGCACTAGAGGAGCTTCTGAGTACCGCCCTGAGAGCACAGGCTCATGGAGTCTCCAGCCTGGGCAACGGCTCAGAGTCAAGCAACTGGGATCTGCCCTCTGCCCTGCTCTTCACTGCCAGCATCCTCACCACCACCGGTAGGCCGCCACCACCAGACACCTAGTAGGACAAGGATCCTGAAACTATGGCTCCCTAAGAGCCCTAGAGTGCAGCCCCCGCCCCGACCCCCTCCCCCCAGCTCAAAGCACCAGACACAGCCTAGGCTCTTTCAGGCCTGACATCACAACTGGGGCTCCCCACACAACACACCCCAACTGGTGCCTCCACTTAAGCTGCCAGGAGGGGTGTGACCTCCCCAGCCCCACCCCTAGGCTCTCTTTGAAATCCAGATCCCCAGACCTCATAGGCCAGAAGCAAGGCAGGGAATGCAACTTGGTGGGACAGATTCTTGGATGGAGGGATGCTGGAGGAAGCACAGCCGAGGACCACGCACTGAAGACAGGGTGAGGGGAGAAGGGGTGATAAGCTCTGCGACAGAGAAACAAAGCCCTACGTTGTTTCGTTTGGTTGTCCCACAAATACTGTCTTCCTAACTGAAATCTGTATTTCTAACTTCTGGCTGGAGCAGAATGAAGTCTGCTTCTAGAGCATATGCTCTCCAGCCCACCCTGTCTTCAGCACTCTTATCTCACATCTGGCTCCTGTGCGCTTTGGAGTTTGCTACCTCTGGACCAGCTGATCCTGTTCTCCCAGCATGCCCCACTCTCCCACTTCTCCCTTCCCTCCATCCTGCTTCTCTCACTCTGAAAGCCGTCTGTGCTGTCTCTTTGGAGTCTTTCCCACCTGCCTCCCCTTCCCGCCACCACACACACAAATCTGAAACCAGGCAGACTTTCAAGTCCATCTGGCACTAGATCTAGCACACAGGAAGATGGGATGCACATTTGAGGAGTTAAAGTAGATGATGTAGGGGGCTAGAAAGATGGCTCAGCAGTTAAGAACACTGGCTGTTCTTGCAGAAGACCTGGGTTTGAATCCCAGCACCCACATGGCAGCTAACAACTGTCCGTAACTCCAGTTCCAGGGGATCTGATGGCCTCTTCTGCCCTCAGCAGGCATTGCACGACATGGGTGCACTTACCTACACACATACACATAAAATAAATTTTTTAAAAAAAAGTAGATGATGTAGAGTACATCCCGATTCACTATAATTAGAGCAGGATGTCCACCCAGGTGGTTAAGATAAGAAGCTGGTGAATCTCTCAGAAAGCCAGTATCAGGTTGGGATTATAGCTCAGTGGTAGAGCACTTGCCTAGAATGCATGAGGCTCTTGGAATTCCCCCACCCCTCAAGAACAAGGGAAAAGGGGAGGAAGGGAGGATCTCTCAAAGACACACCATCAGTTCTAAGTTGTCCCAGCTACAAAAAGCCTAGGGATAGCTTTCAGTCCTTCAAATTTCCAGAAAGGAAAAGTAGCCTTGGAGAGGTTAAGGGACCTGCTCCCCACATAAAGAGGATTCCAGCCAAAAGTCATGTAATTTCAGCCACCAGAGGGCAGACTCCTGTGGGAGGTGATGGAGAAAATGAGATACCTACTCCCATCCCCCCCCCACCCCCACCCCCAGCAAGCATCCCATTCAAAACTTCACCAACTGTCTCTCTCTTCTCCAGGTTATGGGCATATGGCCCCACTATCGGCAGGTGGAAAGGCCTTCTGTGTGGTCTATGCAGCCCTGGGACTGCCAGCCTCCCTAGCCCTTGTGGCTGCCCTACGCTGCTGCCTGATGCCTGCACTTGGTTGCCCAGGCACCTGGGTAGCCGTTCGCTGGCACCTGGCACCAGCCCAGGCTGCCCTGCTTCAGGCAGCAGTACTGGGCCTCCTGGTGGCCTGTGTTTTTGTGCTGCTGCCAGCGCTGGGGTTGTGGAGTATACAGAGTGACTGCAGCCTGCTGGAAGCCATCTACTTCTGCTTCGGTTCACTCAGCACCATTGGCCTAGGGGACCTACTGCCTGGCCATGGACGTGGCCTGCATCCAGCAATTTACCACCTTGGACAGTTTGCACTTCTTGGTGAGTCCAGGCTAAGGAGGGTGGTGGAGTTGAACTACAACTCCCATAGACCACTGGGGGGAGGGGAGCTGCAACTCAGAGGGGTAGAGATCCTACCCTATAGCATGGTATGGGTGTTGTAGTCCAAAGAATCCTGAGGGCAGTGTTGAGTTGTGCCAGGGTGGGTTATCACAGTGGGAAGTTGGGGGGAACATGAGCACCCTAAGAACTGTACTAATCACCTCTTCTCCTAGGTTACTTACTTTTAGGGCTCCTGGCCATGCTGCTAGCTGTAGAGACCTTCTCGGAGCTGCCACAAGTCTGTACCATGGTGAAATTCTTTGAGCCTAGTGGCCCTATGGCAGCTGAGGACCAAGGCGACATACTAGGCCAGGATGAGCTGGCTCTGAGTTCCCTGCCTCCTGACACCCCAGCCTCAGAACAAGTTACTCCAGTATCAGAACAGACCTGAGCTTTGCTGACTCCAGCCAGATGACAAGATTCAGCTCATTTAAATTGGAGGACCCTGAGGAGGCCCTTGGGAGTGTCTAGGGAACAGTGGGAAGGAGTTATGGATGCCAGGGAACAATGTGTTAATACAAAAATAAAATGGATTGCTTAGCATTCACCAGGATGCTCTCAGTTCAACTCTCAGCACCACAACATAAATAATAAATGAATAAATAATGTGTGGGTAGGCATGCTTCAGTCTTAAGAAATCCAGTCTCTCTCTGTGTATGTTCCTGCATGCACAGCATGGGGCATGTTTGGAGGTCAAAGGGCAACTTTGTGGAATTGGTTCTCACCTTCCACATTTAGGATTGAACTCGGGTTGTCAGGCTTTTGAGACAAGAGTTTTGCTTTTTTTAATATTTTATTATTTTTATTTTATGTGTATGAGTGTATTGCCCACATGTATGAAAGTGCACCCGTGTCATGCAATGCCTGTGAAGGTCAGAAGAGGGCATCAGATCCCCTGGAACTGGAGTTACAGACAGTTGTTAGCTGCCATGTGGGTGCTGAGAACTGAGCCTGGTCCTCTGAGAGAGCAGCCAGTGCTCTTAACCACAGAGCTATCTTTTCCACCATACACCTCATTTCAATTTCTTGAAACAAGTTCTCAAGTAGCCCAGGTTGGCTGCATATTCCGTTCATGGTTGAGGCTGGCCTTGAACTGATCGTCTTACCAAGTATGGAGCTTACTTACAGGACTGCACCATCCCGTCTGTTTTCTGGTTTTCTTTCAAAACTAGGTCTTCCCTCTGGCCCTCATCCTTGGAAGGCCACATCTTGGGAACCCTCTGGCCTCGGATAGCGTCTCATAGAGAGCATTATTAGCCTAGACCCCATCCTCTTCTCTTCTTGAAGGTTTATTGAGAAAGGGCAGGCACTGGTTTGTCCTTGTCCAATTTTATTGTTCCAGAGGCAAAGGAAGGGGAGGAGGATGTGGGCCACAGGTCCAGAGCCATCAGCCATCCCTTTGCAGACGCGCGGGAGGGGGGTCTGCACCACACACAAACACTCAGAGAAACAAATAAATACTACCGGGCAGGCGCAGGCGCCCCACCACTGTCCTGTTTCTGCAGGCTGACGGGACGTTGGAGGCTGCAGGTTGTGCTCCGCTTTCTGGAGGTCCAGATCCTCCGCTGCACAGACGGAAGGCGAGTGCTTCCAGGAGGGTGGAGGCTAGCCCAGCTCAGCCCAGCTCAGCTCAGCTCAGCTCAGCGTGCAGCGCTCCCGCCGGCTCAGCTGCCGGCTGACCTTGCGGCGCCGCTGCTCCAGGCTGCGTTCCAAGCGCTCATCTTCCTCCAGCGCGCTGGGAAGGAAGGGTTCAAGTCAGTCGAAGCCTTGGCCCTACTTAACAGAGGCTGCAGAAGTCCCACGCAGGCGACTCCAGGAGTATGCCCTGGGGTCTCTCCCACTCCCAGCATCGTTCCGACCCCTGACTCACATCCGCTCCTTGTGGTCCAGGTTCCGGACCAGCTCATCTCTCTGGTTCACCAAAGACACCAGCTCTTCCAGCAAGAGTTGCTCCCGGTGCTGCTGCGCCACCGTTTTCTGCCACTCTAAGAATCAAGAAGCCTGAGTCAGGAGGTGTCCCCTTCGCCTTATCCTGTCCCCAACCCCTGCGGCCCCATCTCCCACCTTCAATGGCCAACATGGCCCGCAGCTCCCGGCTCAGCAGTTCAAACCTCCGCTCCAAGTCCTGCTCCTCAATGCTGAGGGATAGAGTTGCCAAGTCAGAGAAAGGGGACCAGAAGTGCCCAGGGCTGCTGACCACTCCACAGTCCTGTTCCACTCTATCAGTTTCCACAGAGGACTGGGCAGGCCTCAGTCCCAGTCCCCATTCCAAGTTCTCTATTCCAACTGATTTCTAATTATACTCAGGATACTTAGTTGCTCTATGCCCAACCCACCTCCCTCTTTAAATAAACAAAAGACCAGAAAAATCATTAGATGGAACACAGTAGGCTAAAACTGTTCTGAAAAAATTAATTAAAAAACACTGGGTGTGGAGGCATATGCCTTTAATCCCACATACCAGAGGCAGATCCAACAGGTAGATCTCAGCACTGTGAGATTTAGGCCAGACTAGTTTATCTAGTGAGTTCCAGGCCAGCTGGGGCTACAGGGAGGCCCTGTCTCAAAAAAAAAAAAAAAAAAAAAAAAACCAGAAAACCCCATGCCCAGCCTTAGGGTAACTTTTATGTAGTAAATGAGACAGAACAGAAAAAGAAAATGAATAATATGAGGGGTGGGCATGGTGGTGCACACCTTTAATCCCAGCCCTGGGGAGGCAGAAGCAGGAGGATCTCTGAGTTTGAGGCCAGCTAGGACTACATAGCAAGATACTGTCTCAAAAAAAAAAAAATTACTAAGATGGCTTATTATTAATACTGAAAGAAGAAAGCAGTGACTAGCCCTAGACCAAAGTAAGCTAAGATTATCCAGTGTAGGCGGTCCTGAGCTCACTGGGTGTGGGGCCTGGGCTGGACAGCAAGAGCTGCTCCCAGTGCTGCTGCGCCACCATTTTCTGCCACTCTTCAACGGCCAACATGGCCCGCAGCTCCCGGCTCAGCAGTTCAAACCTCCGCTCCAAGTCCTGCTCCTCAATGAGAAGCTGCAACTGGTCCTGCCTCCTGATGAGGGCGTTCTTCTTGTTGACCAGTGTGAACCACTCCTGGATCAGCATCTCCTCCTGCAGCCTGTTGGCACCTGAATCAAGGCAAGACAGTCATCAGACCTGCCTCCCGTCAGGGCGGAGCAGCTGAGGACTGCTAGGCTTCCCTATAACATCTAGAAGCCAGACCCACATGCCTCTAGCGAGCCTCTTCCCAACTCTGGGCTTAGTGTGCGCCTATCAAAGGGACTCCTAACTGTGCCTCCTCCCAGCTCCTCCCAAAGTCAAGAACTGCTTCAGGGCTAAGCAGGTCTGGGGAGGGTATGGAGGAGTAGACTTCCAAATGCCAGGGCCACCTGATTCCATGAGGCTTCTCAGCTGCGTTTCCACCTCAGCTGCTCGGCCATCTATCTGTCTCTGCTCCTGTTCTAGGGCCTGAAGCTCTGCACACACGTACTGACTTGTGTCCTGGAATCGTTGCTAGGAACAGAAAGGGAGGCAGGGGACAGGTGAAGTCATTCCAGCCCCCAGCCCCCAGAAAGTACCACAATTCCATCCACCCAGACCACCTTACCAGTCCAGCCTCCTCTCTTGGACTTGGGGGTGGCTCATCTGAAGGAGGGTTCCCACCTGCAGATAGACACTAGGCTAAGTACCTCCAGTTAGCATAAGACCCCAGAAAGAATCCAGAAAGATGTGTGAGCAGACTGAGTTAAACTGGGTCACCACCCCCTTCTCTCCAAACTACTCACCAGAGGGCTGCTGCAGGGCTGTGTCTGTGAGTGGGCTAGGGTCAAGGCTGGAGTCAGGGCTAGGGCCTTCCTGTGGAAAAAAAAAAAGGGGGGGCTGATGAGGGATTGGAGGGGTTCCAACAGCCCCACTCAGCCCAGGTATCCAGAGCCTCTCACACAGAGGGGATATAGGATCCTTAGTTTCCTGAGGCCAGCCTGTGCTCTTGAGCCCACCCATCCACCTACCTCTATGCCTCCAAACTCTCCCTCCAGGGACTGGGTTCTTAACTCAGGCCTTCCAGGCTAAGTCAGTGGTGAAAGGCTGGGAAAGGCCCAGAAGGAATCTTTTCTTCCCCCTCTCACCCCTTCCTCCTTGTAGCTCCTGAAGGCCACCTGGCTCTAATCACTTAGTGTTGACATTTCCACCATCACATGTAGGGCCTCTTGGAAGAGACACAGCTGCCCTGATGAGGCAGCCTCATCTGGACTTAGGTTATCCTGAGCTGGCACCTCCTTTTTCTGGCCTGAAGGGGGCACCCTCGTACTCCATCAGTTTCCACACCTAGAGCCCCGCTGTGCTCTAGAACAGGACAAGGCTAGTTGGACCTGTGAATTCTGTCCTGTTAGGGCCCAGTCTGCCCCCACTGTGCCTTACTCCCCGTGACTGGGACCCTGAGTTTTGACTCAGCTGGGAGCCTGCTGGCCACCTTTCTGAGTCACAGGTATGGATCCTAAAGGAGTTGAGCTACCTTATTATCATACCCCTCAGAGAGGCATCCCCGGCTCAGATACCACCCTCTCTGGCTTGGACCAGCAGAGGCCTCACCAGCGACCACCATGCCTGGCCATTGACTCTACCCTCAAATACAACCAAAACCTTCACTCACAGTGTAACTCCACAGCCTGCCTCAGTCCCCAGCCTCACTGCTAAGGCCTGTGGGCAGCTTCAATCTCAATTCCCCTTAACACTCTGAGTTCCACTAAGGGACTTCTGGTTCCTAAAAACTTCCTCAGCCTGGAACCAGCCTCCATCTTGAGCTTCCCAAAGCAACTAGACCTTCCTGGCTCAGCTTTGCAAGGGGTCCCTCTGGATTTCTTTCATAACTCCTTCTGCCTCCCTCTCTGACCCTCTAGTATCTGGAAGTCTGCTTGGTCGCCAGGCGAGGCAGAGGCCACCCCAAGTCTTTCCCATGATGGCTCACACCCTACCCATCCTGCTATTGGCTACTGCTGTTTCTCTGACTAACTAGAGGTGGCCTGTTTACTTATTTATAAAGATTTGTTTTATTATTTTAACTTTTTATTATATTTGCATGAGTGTTTTGCCTGCATGTATGTAAGTGTATACAATGTCACATGCATGCAATGCCCCACAGAGGCCAGAAGAGGGTCTGGATCCCCTGGAGCTATAGATGGCTGTTAGCCACTCTGTGGGTGCTGGGAATAGAACCCGGGTCCTCTGGAAGAACAGCAAGTGCTCTTAACCACTGAGCCATCTGTCCAACCCTGATTTATTTTATTTTTAAAATTATGTTTATGTAGGGGCTGGAGAGATGGCTCAGCGGTTAAGAGCACTGACTGCTCTTGCAGGAGACCCGGGTTCAATTCCCAGCACCCACATGGCAGCTAACAACCGTCCTTAACTCCACTTCCAGGGGAATCCGAAGCCCTCTTCTGACCTCCATGGCATTGAATGACATGGGTGCATTCACATGCGTGCAGGCAATACACTCATACACATTAAAAAAATAAGATATTTAAAAAATGTTTATGTGTGTGTGCATGTGAGTATAGGTGTCCTTGGAAACCAGAAGAGGGCGTCAGATCCTCTGGAGCTGGAGTTATAAGCAGCTATGAGCTGCCTGACATGAGTGTTAGGAACTGAACTCCGGTCCCCTGCAAAAGCAGAATGTGCCCTTAACAGCTGAGGCATCTCTTCCAGAGGGAGCCTCTTTAGATAGGCCAGGTCCAGCACACAAGGTACACTGACTAATGACAAGAGCTGCTAAGCACTTAAAGTCTCAGGTACTATAAAACATGTCTCTTAAGTATTTACTTCCGTCAAGAACATCATGGGGCTGGGATGATTCTCACGTTACAGAGATGGAAACTGATGGCCAGAGATGAAGCTTACCACAGGTCTTGGTCTAGGGCCCACAGTTGTCTTAACTCAAGACTTAGTCCAGAGCTTGAAACCCACCTCCCTGCCATTGGGCTTGTTTGTGTCTTTGCATGTAAAATGGGGAGAGATCCCAGCCCCATGTGACCTAGGAGATGTAGCACTGCAGAATAGCACCTGGAAAAACACAGCTCTTATTTCTGTACCTGCATGGCACTTTGCAAAGGGCTTTCTTACCTTTGCTCCTCACCCTCAGGGAAAAAGCACAGAGGGGTTAAGTGGCTTGCCTGCAGCCAACAGCCAGTCAAAATAGTGTGGGGCCCAGAAGAGGGCACAAGCTAGGACTGCAGGCTCAGAACCTCTGATCTTGACCTTTCTTCATCTCCCTCTGCTTCAGTGTACCCACTTGTAAAGTGGGGGGGAATCACTGCTTCCTGTAGAGGACACTGTTGGGGTGAGCCAACCACACAAAAATGGCCCAACTCATAAGGCAGGCAGAAAAGGAGGCTTAGAAAGCAAATGTCAGCAGCAAAGGCTCTTACATAAGCCCTGATGGGAATTCCAAAGCTTCCTCATGTCTGACCCAAATTCCTCTTTCTATGCTTTCAAGTGGCCCCTCCTCCAGGAAGCCTTGCTGGACTGCCCTAGAAGCACTCTGAATTTCTCTTGGAGCTGTTTCCACCCCACCCCCCATCCTCAAGGTATCTGGCCTCATCCCACTCCAGGCCTTTGGGAGCTTCCAAGGGTGGGGCCAGGCTGAAAAGCCTCCCACAGAACAGTAGGGGCATAGGGGATGAAAACAGCCAATAAGGGAGCCTCCTCCTGCTCCATGGGTCAGATATCTTTTGTGGGGCAAGGGCTAGAGGGCCTGGCTTAAAAGACCAGATGCTGGGACCTGGGCCCAGAGGGTGTGAGCTGGAGCCTCCCCTTTATGATTTAAAAAGCCACTGCTGTCCATTAGCCAGCTGGGCTAGAGGTACCACCTCCTGATAACACAGCCTAACACATCTTCTATAGGAAATGCTTCCGGGCCTCTCTGTGTGCCTCATTCATAGACTGGTGTCACTGGTCTGCCACTCAGGCTGTTCTCAACTAGCCTCACTACCATCTGGAGACCTCGGAGAAAACTGTCAGTTCCCTAAGTGAGACCTGAATACACTTTGCTTGCCATGTTTTGCTTGTGTGTGTCTCTCCATTTGAGAACCGCACCCTCCCATTTTCTTCTTTTTTTATTTTTTCTTTGTTGTGTGTGGTGCATGCTTGTGTGTACATATGTGTAAAGATATGCATGGGGGGGTAGAGAGATGGCTCAGTGGTTAAGAACACTTGTTCTTCCTGAGGACCAGGGTTCAATTCCCAGAACCCACATGGCAGCTAACAACTATCCAGGGGATCTGACACCCTCTTCTGGCCTCTGCAGGTATTGCATGCGTGTAGTACACTTACATATATGCAGGCAAACACTCATCACATAAAATAAAAATAATAAAATTTAGGGGCTGGAGAGATAGTCCAGCAGTCAAGAGCACTGGCTGCTCTTGCAGAGGACCTGGGTTCAGTTCCCAGTACCCACATGGCAGCTAACAACCGACTGTAATTCTAGTGCCAGGGGAATCTAACACCCTCTTCTGACCTCCAGGGGCATTGCATTAAAAAATAAAAAATGTTTTAAAAGATATGCGTGTGTGGAGAGGCCAGATGTTAGATGTCTCCCTCTATTGCTCTACACCTTATTATTTTCTTTTTTTAATTTCTTTTTTTATTATTTATTATTTTAAAAAATATTTTATTATTTTGCCTGCATGTATGTGAGTGCACCTGTGTCGTGCAGTGGTGTGGAGGTCAGAAGAGGGTGTTGGATTCCCCTGAAACTGGAGTTAAGGGCAGTTTGTAGCTGCCCTGTGGGTGCTCAGAATCAAACCTGGGTCTGCAAGAGCAGTCAGTGCTCTTAACCACTAAGCCATTTCTCCAGCCCCTATTATTTATTATTTTTATGTGTATGTGTGTATTGCCTGCGTGTAGGTAAGCGCACCCATGTTGAGCAATGCCCGGGGAGGACAGAAGAGGCCATCGGCTCCCCTGGAACTGGTGTTACGGACAGTTGTTAGCTGCCATGTGGGTGCTGGGATTCGAACCCAGGTCTTCTGCAAGAACAACTAGTGTTCTTAACCGCTGAGCCATCTCTCCAGACCCTATTTTTTTCTTTTTTAAAAATTAAGATTTATTGTTAGTCTTGGTGACAAGGACCTTTACCCCCTGAGCTATCTTGCTGGCCCTCTACCATACTTTTTAAAAAATATTTTATTACTTTTATTTTATGTATATGAGTATATTGCCTACATGTATGTAAGTGCACCCATGTTGTGAAATGCCTGAAGAGGTCAAAAGAGGGCATCAGATCCCCTGGAACTGGAGTTCTGGATGGTTGTTAGCAGCCATGTGGTGCTGGGAACTCAACCCAGGTCCTCTGCAAGAGCAGCCAGTGCTCTGAACTGCTGAGCCATCCCTCCAGGCCTCCTCTATTGTATTTTTTTTTTTTTTTGTCTTTTTGAGACAGGGTCTCCCTGTAGTTCCAGCTGACCTGAACTCACTATGTAGACCAGGCTGGCCTTGAACTCACAACAATCTGCCTGCCTCTGCCTCCCGAGTGCTGGGAGTAAAGGTGTGTGCCACCACTCCCGGCTCTACTGTATTTTTTGAGAGCCCTCCTCTGTATTTTTTGAGATAGGGTCTTTCACTGAACCTAGCACTCATCAACTGGCTACAACTGGCTGGCTAGCAAGCACCAGGGATCCTCCAGTCTCCACCTCCCAGTACTGGATTTCAGGTGCATGCCATCACATTTGGCTTTTTACTTGGTACCTGGAATCCAAACTCAGGTCCTCATGTTTGTGCATCAAGCCCTTTACCCACTGAGTCATCGCCCCAGCTCTGCTATCCTTATTTAATGGCTTGAACTCCTGAGCTTTCTGCTTCCCCCTCCCAAATTCTGAGACTACAGGCATGTGTCACCACACCTAGCATTTTGTTATTATTTTAGTGGTGCTGGGGACTGAACTCTGGACCTCTTTAATGCTAGGCAAACCTCTACCACTGAACTATTTCCCCAACCCTCCATTTTCCACCTGGGAAATGGCCCATCTTGTCAACTAGCTGAAGGACCAGCTGCTTCCTCCAGAAAGCCTTTCCCAATTGATTCCCTTTTCTGGGAAGTTGCAGATGTGTAACGGTTCGTTCTGTCATCTCCAGGCAGAAGGCCTGGGGCCAGACTCCATTGCCTGTGAGTCCCGGGGCCAGTTCCAGCTTCCTGTAGAGCCATCTCCTTTAACACAACGAAGTGAGTGAGTGTGTGTGTGTGTATATGTGTGTGTGTGTGTGTGTGTGTGTGTGTGTGTGCATGACTGAGCCTACAGGGTACTGAGCTGGAGTCACTATCCCCAGCAGGAAGTCCCACCTCCAAGCTCCCATTATTGGAAGCCTCAGGGGTTAAAATATCCAAATCAGACAATCTGGAGGCTGGGAGGAGCTGCCAAGAAGCCCCCTGGAGGACAAAATCTGGCCCTTAGCTATGGACCAGGGTAGCTGCTGAGTTCACTCTAAGGCCACCCACGTAGAAAGAAAGGCCCAAATTCACTTAACAGTCCAGCATACCTGGAGCATTCCCCAAACTGGGGGTCAAAAGTTAGAAAACACTAACATGTCTCAGCCTGGCAGGACACCCAGGTTTAGTTCTGGGCCTTTTGCCTAGATACATCAAAGTGCCTCCCAGGATCCAGCCAAGTGGTCTCCCCTTCACCATCCCTGTCCTTGGGGACCACTTGGGGCCTTGCTCTGAAAACTCCTCAGCATCCTGAACTGCAGCAGGGGTAGGGACACTCACGGCAGCCCCAGGTCCTGAACTGCAGCAGGGGTAGGGACACTCACGGCAGCCCCAGGTCCCACAGGTCCGGTGCTTCCCGCAGCTCCAGAGTCTGGGTCATCCACAGAGGAGTTGCTGTTCCGCAGCCGTGAACGTCTCTTCTTTAGCAGATCCGCGTCGCGCACGTGGGAGAAGGAGCCGTGCGCTCGGGGTGGTGGCACAGGCCCGGACTCTCCGTTGACGGATGCCCGTCTCAGCTTCACAGCGCCCACCACACCCGACGCCCCAGCCCCGTTCATCAGCCCCTCTGCGGGGGCCACAAGCAAGCGCACTCCGGGGCCGCTGGAGGCCAACTCTTCCCTGACAGCCTTGGCCTCGCCATCCTTGGAGGCACAGCCCGGGTCTGCGTCACTGGAGGCAGCCTTGGATATCGCCCCAGCCCCGCTGTTCCCGGCCTCTCGGGGCTCCTTGGATACGTCGGTCCCGTGGCCGCGCAGCCGCCGTGCCAGGCCGCCGGCGTCCAGGTCGTCCTGCAGGCTCGGCTGGGCGCTGCCCACGCGGTAAGTGCCGGAGCCGCCGCCGCCCTCCAGCTGCACCAGCTGCAGCTCCTGCCCAGTGCAGAAGGCACGGATCTGGCACAGATACGTCATGACGATGAGCTTGTCAGGCACCGACAGAAGAACCATGTCCGCTGGCTCCAGCAGCCGAGACACACCCAGGGCCGCGAAGCCATCAAAAGCCTGGGAAGGGTACGCTCGGATCAGTGGCAGCTGGGACCAACATAAGCCGGCAACTCTGCAGACCCAAGCCAGGCCGCCCAGGGGGTCTCTGAGACTTTCCAGCCAGAATTTTCTTAGCAACGTCTTCACCCTCCTGTTTAGGGAACTTTAGCTTAGCAACAAGGCCCGCCCTTGCCTTTACCTAGCAACTGTACATCATCCACCCTATTACCAGGAGATGGTTTTAGGGGGAAAAAACATCTAGGGAAAACATGCTTTAAAAATTAAAAACACCAAAACAGAAACTAAGGCAAACTAGCAATTTAATGACCAAAAAGATTTTAAAACTTTCCAAAAGCCAGGCCAGGGTCCTGTGGCCCAGACTGCAGTTGTCAGTCCCCAGCCTGAATCCCTATACCTCTCTCCAGCCATGGCTCCCTCTTCATCTCACCTGTTTGTTGTTCTGCTTGATGTTCAATGGATCAAGAGAGAAATAGTCACTGCGGGGGGAGGGGGGGCTGGTCAGAAGTGAACAGCACTGGTGTGCTCCCCCCCCCCACCATTTCTCCCCATACCCCTTGGCAGCTCACATCTTGTCTGGGTAGAACCGATGTAAAATAGCACAGAAAGCCAGGCCGTTGCGCCAGGATGTGGTGAAATTGGTGATACGGACACCACGGTAGCCACTGGTGACCTCTTGACACCACTCTAGCAGGGACTGGCTGGAGCTGACCAGAGTAGGTGGTGCCTGAGGACACAGGAGTGGACTTAGGGGATATATTCCAGGGATTTGTGCCCTCTTCCCCTTTGGAGAACCTCAGACCTAGCACAAAACAGCCTCAGCTCTGAGTTTGCAAGGGTCACCAGAGACCATTGGCCAGAACCTTGAGGCCAGGCAAAAGGGTTTCCAGCTTAAGGGGAGTTATCTGCCAAGATCACCTAAAAGGTCAATGGCCCCCAGGCAAGATCAGAGTCAGCCCAGAAAATCAGCTTAGGGGTGTCCAGCTCCATGCAGCCCAGTGGGGTGGGAGAGCCAGGGCATCCTGAGGGAGGAGGATAAGGGGCCTTTTTGAAGCTGAGTACCCCACCAAACCCCATCTCAGTCCACCAGATGGGTCCATGCAGAGCCATTGTTCACTCAGCCCCAGGTTAGTGGGAAGCAGCAGACCAGGCACTCAGTGGCCCCCATCCCTACCTGGCTGCCCGGCAGCCTCCCGTCCTCTTCGGGCTCCTCTGGGGAAGAGGCCCCCGAGGGCCTGGGTACCCCAGCCCCTGCCCTACTGGCCACCTGTGCCTCAATCAAGCTGGCTTCTGGGAGGCTTTCCTCAGCTTCTTTCCCCTTCTGGGTTCCCAAGACCCCAGATTCTGCTTCCTGGGCCTCAAAAATACCAGATTTATTTTCCAGGGCCTCAGAAACTGCTATCTCTGCTTTCTGGGGCCCCAAAGTCAAAGATTTGTCCTCTGCTTCTCCCAACAGAACTTTAGTCTCTGTCTCTGGTGTCCTGGATACTTCTGCCTCTATTGCCTGAGCCCCTGAAACTCTTTGCTCAGTGACTGTGAGAGCTCCCCAGGTCTCAGTCTCCTGGATTGCCAAAGTTTCTGTCTTTGCCTCTTCTAACTTCGTAACTACAGTTTCTGTCCACTGGGCCCTCAGAACCTCAGCCTCTACTGTTCCAGCTTCTGGCCTGGAAGTCCCAGAATCCCCCACCTCTGTTTCCTGAGCCCTGGCTATTTCAGGTTCTATCCCTGGGATCCCTGAGCCACCAACTTCTATCTCCTGGGTTCCCAGCATCTCAGGCTGTGTCATGTCTATCCACAGAGCCCCTGATTCCCTAACCTCTGTTTCCTGGGCCTCCGATATCTCAGACTTTCCCATCTCAGCAGCTATCACTGGACCCTCAAAACCCCCTATTTCTGCCTTCTGGATCCTCAATATTTCAGCTTCTGCTGTTTCATTTTCTATTCCTGGGATCCCCAAAGCCCTCACTTCTGTCTCCTGGACCCCCAATATCTTCAATTCTATTGTCTCAGTCTCTGTTCTCAGTATCCTAGAACCCCCAGGCATCTCCTCGGCCTCCAAGAGTTCAGTCTCTTCTACCTCAGCTTCTGTCCCTGGCCCTTCTGGAGCCCCAGCTGAGATCTCCTGGGTCCCCAACAGCTCAGCTTCCACTGTTTCTACCTCCAGAACCCCTGAATCTCCTACCCTTGTCTCCAGGGCCCCTGAAATCTTGGATCCTGGTGTCTCAGCTTCTACCCTAAGTACCCCAGGACTCCCTGATATCTCCTGGGTCCTTAATAGTTCGGCTTCTTCTGTCTCAGTTTCTATCACAGAAACTTCTGGATCCCCCACCTCTGTCTCCTGGGCCCCTACTATTCTAGGTTGTATCCCTGGGGGCCCTGAATCCACAGATGCTCTCCACTGGGTCCCTGATGTCTCAGCTTCTCCTGTTTCTGTCTCTAACCCAGGACTCCTCCAAGTCCCCATCTCTGTCTCCTGGGCTCCCACCATGTCAGACCCTACCATCTCAGCTTCTATCCCTGGAGCCCCTGAGCCTTCAGCTGCTGTCTTCTGGGTCTCTGATAGTTCAGCTTCTGGCTCCCCAACCTCAGTCTTCTCAGGCCTCAGTACCTCAGATGCTAGTGTCTTCGCCTCTGTCTTCAGTACTCCAGGCCCCCCGGCTGCTGCTATCTCCTGGGCCTCCAATATCTCAGTTTGTGTTCTCATAGCCTTGGTCCCTGCAACTGTGAAACCCCTAGTTTCTGTTTCCTGAATCCCAAATTCCTTAGACTCTGTCATCCCAGCTCCTGTTCCCAGCATCCCTGGAACACCCACCTCTTTCTCCTGAGTCCCCAATACCTCAGATTCTGCTGTCCCAGTAGCCTCTGACTCCAGGACCTCTGATCTTGCTGCCTCTGTCTCTTGAAACCCCAATATTTCAGCTCCTGCTGTGCCAGTCTCTATTTTGGAGGATCCTGGTCCCCCAGCATGTGTCTTCTGGGTCCCTAATACCACCCAAGGTGCCATCTCAGCCTCTGTTTCCAGGAGCCTTGACTCCTCAGCTTCTGCCTCCTGGGTCTTCAAATCTTTAGATGCCACCCCCTGGTCAGCTGATGGGGCTGCATGAAACCTGTTCACCTGGGGCCCAGTGCCTGCTGCCCCAGCAGAGGGGCCCTGCTCCAGGGCTGTCCTATCAGTACCAGGAGCTCTGCCCCTCGCCTCTGTGCCTTCTCTCTCCTGGCCTGCAGCATGCTTGTCACTCCTGAGTTTCCCTGGATGCCCTTCAGATTCAGCTGGAGGTGGGTTCAGGTCACTGGGAGCCCCTTCCTGGATCCTTACCCCCACCCTCCCATGAGAACTCCTAGGAGGAGCCTCAGGAGTTGCCCTGAGCCTTGCCTCAGCCATCAGCCCTGTAGCCTCTGGTCCCTCCATGACTATATGTTGCACCTCTGACTTCTGTTCAGCATCTACTCGTCTGAGTTTTGAACTCTCTTCAGCCTCCCCAGCTATGATGCCTGGCCTAGTGTTCTCCTCTCTAACTCTTGCCCCTTGCTCAGGGTCCACCCCACTGTCCTCTGGCCTCTTCCCAATGACCCTGTCTTCAACCTTGGGTCTTTCCTCTCCCAAAGCATCTCTGGAGCCTCTGTCCTCAATATCTGGGCCTGGCCTGGCTCCATGGGTCTCTGTCTTTTCCTGAGAGTATGTCTGAGCCTGGGTCTCCCCAGAAGAACCCGTTCCTGATGGAGGGCCCTCTGAGGCATTGGGGACCACATCCCCACTATAGGGGACTGAGGACTGGGGGACATCAGAGCCTTTCCGGAGCCGAGGGGCTGGGGTGGGGGCCATGTCCTGCCCTGGCTGCCTGGAGGACCTGAGGAAAGAGAAGGAAGAAGTGTTGGGGGGGTGTCTCCTGTGGGCCCCACTCTCAGTCCCACGCCACCTTTCAGACTACTACAGCACTGGAGGGGAGGATAGGAGGGGGCACTTCTAAAAGCAATGAAACTGGTTCCTCACCTTGTCTCTGGTGGGGATCCTGGGGGCCTTGGGGCCTTAGGCCCCACCTGGCCCCCTGCTATAGCTGATGGTTCTGACCCCTGGCCCCGGAAGGATCTGGCCGGGGGTGCAGGGGCACTCACAGGGGCAGGGCTGGTATCTTCAGCACTAGAAGAGCTGACAGCTGGGAGAGAAGGGAGGAAACACTGAGGCCTGGGCACTGTGACCCATAGTCCAGCCCCCAACCCCAACCACAGCTCGTCTCACCTGCCTGCTGGGGCTGTACTTGACCCTCCTCCTCCTCCTCACAAAGTGTCTTCAGCTCCCGAGAGAGATCTGGGGATTGGGGGGTGGTGGTGGGGGTCATTGGAGAAGAAGAATCAGTCCAAGGCAGGGCCTGAAGTTTGGGCCCTACCCTGACCCCCAACTAGAGTGCAGGGCCTACCTGGGAAATGCCCCAGTCTCAGGGCACAGCCCCGGCCTTGGAGAAGAGACAGGCCCACAGGTGCAAAGAGAGAAGAAATGAGAGACAAACACAAGAGTGAAGACAAAAATCTTTAAAGAGCAGAAGGGAGGGAGGGAGGGAGGGAGGGAGGGAAGGAGGGAGGGAGGAGGATGGGGTGGTGGAGAGCAGAAGACTGGAGGATGCAGCTAATACTGCATGTGACCCATTTCCTGAGGTCAAAGACTGAGGTACCCAACAGGACCAGGAACCAAGCTGGGACAATCAGACTGCTGGGCAGTAATGAGCGCCATCACTGAGTGTGCACAAGCTGGCCCTGTCCCAGCACAACCAGTGCTTGTGGCCCAGGCATGCCACATCCATCCTAAGCCTTGGCAGTCGAAACCCAAAGTAGGCTGTGAGCCTACCTGGCTGGGGGCCTCGAGCCCGGGCCTCAGGAGCCCCGGGGCCATTAGCTTCATCTTCGTCACTCTCTGCAAAGTCGTCCAAGTTGCCCACGTCACTAGGCTTCACACTCATGAGGCTGGCCAGACTCTGCATGTCATCATCCCTGTGGGACAGAAGTCAGGGGGTCAGGGGTGAGGGCTGGGGTCCGAGATCACAGGCCAGGGCCAGGGAAGACAGGTGAGTACTTACGTGGCACGGCCTTCACGTAGCAGCACCCCTGAAAGGGTGAGGCTCAGCTCGGCATGCACAACCTTCACTGACTTGGGCTTCAGCTGTAGTCGTAGAGGAACCTGGGCAGGCACAGGCCCTGCATGACGGGCCAGGTCCACATCAGCTGTGGCCAGTACCTTCCGCTGCCCCTTGGACTCCTGTGGACCGGGGGTGTGGGGGAAACAGAGTGAAACATCAATGCTGTCCTGAGGTCCCCAAGACCCCAGGTCCCAGCCTACCCGGACACTCACATTTTCAATGATAAATGTCCATTCTTTGGCCTCATACTGGTCCACATGACGGTCCTGCAGAGGGAAGGACTGGTGAGCACAGGGCTTCGGGGAGGGCAATGCGGAAGCCCTGCGCTGGTTCAGGAGGGGCTGGCAGGCCCTTCACAGTTGCTGTTCCTGCTTGGGCTGCGCCATCTTGGCTTCTCGGAGTGTGTGTTTGCAGTACTATGATTGAACCCCAGGCTCCATGCATGCCCTGCCACTGAGCTACATCCTCAGCGGCCCCACACCCCAGCTTCTGATCCCAGCTGACTTTCCTGCTTCCAGTTGGGTAAATGCTTCCCCCTCAAAGAAGACCTCCTCAGCCACTTGCAATGAGCCCCCCCAATTCTTAGTCTTACCACTTGGTTATTTCCTATAGATAAACAACCCACCTGTGGCTCTGTCAGCATTGTTATCCCTGCCCATCCCTGAGGTCTCGAGACTCACCCTGTACAGGGTCACAGAGATGTCCACGTTCTCAGGGACCATCCACACCACGGTGCCACGGTATGGGTTCTGGATGCCAGGTTGCCAGCTATGGGCCTGCAAAAGGCAGGCTGAGTCCTCCCCTGAGTCTTAACTCTTCCCCTTCCCCCCACCTCCTTCCTCTCTCCCTGTACACTCTAACAGGAACTTGAACCTGATTCTACTCCCCCATCAATCCCCACCTGCCTGTCCCTTTGTTGCCCCCATCCCAACCTGGACCCCCCCCAGTTGCCAATCTCTCTCACCTTGGAGCAGATGCGCCGGTTCCGTCGAGTCCACACCACCACCAGCTTATCTGGCTGCCTGGACGGGAAGGGAGAGCGGCTTAGGCAAGCCCACTTAGTCTCCTCATCTCCTCTTCCTCTGCTCCCCAGCTCCCACTGGGGGGGGTGTGGGGGGATCTGCCCTAGTTGCCTTCCCCAGGGAAGAGGTCCTGGGTAACTTATCTAGGGACACAGGGTGTAGGGTGGGACTGCTCACGCAGGGTGGGGCAGGGACAGAAGGGCAGAGGCCCAGACAGAGAGAATTGGACATCTTGGGCCAGCAAGGCCTATGAAAAAGACAGTGACAGGAAAGGACAGGCATATGTGTATGCCTGTGCACACAGAGACAGAGAGAGCGCGTCTCAGGGGGGAATGTCCGTCCATTTGTTCACAAATATTGGTGGAGCACCCCTTGGAAACTCAGCCCTGTTCTCAGCAGAGGAGAGCCGCTCTAGAGCTGAGGCAAGATCCTCTGAGGTGGAAGAGTGCAGGACCAGAAAGAAAATAAGCCAGCCACAGGGTGGCACATGTCTGTACTGGGAGGCAGAGGCAGGTGGATATCTATGAATTCAAGGCCAGCCTGATCTATATAATAAGTTCCAGGCTAATGAGGGCTACATGAGACCCTATCTCAAAAAA